TTATTTTTCTGGTTCCGTCCCTTCATGTCCCACCACATTTAATAACGTCTCCCACTTTGTCCACTATCTGTTACAAGATGAATGTAAAGTTTGGTTAAACAATGGATTAACCTATACTTAAATAGAAATTAATGAACAATTAACATATCTGAAAAACTGTAGTTTCTGCAAATGTTCTGCAGTAGTGACAGCAATAATTATAACCGAATGTAGATTTAGTAGGAAAAATACTGAATCCAACAAATACAAAATGATTTAAGTTCTATGTTGTTCAGGTTAGTTACTATAACAACTGGTAGCACAATTGCTGGAGGTAGTAGACATTACATATCTGTGAACCTCTAGTCCATGCAATGGCTCATGGTTCAGGGCCTTTAGCGATGATTTTAATGAGTTTTATCATATCAGCATTGAGACTAGACTTGTGCAAATGGTACACAGGATACAAATCTACAGTCTGTTTCTTGTGGGTATGTGTTGGGATAAAATATTCAGATAAACCTTCTGCTTCTTTACTTCTTCACACAGTGCAGAGAAGACCATGTGATTATTCTTTACAAAACAGGGAGGACATAAAAAAGCTTGTGTTAATACAAGGCACATTATTCTAAAAGATTTCACACTGAGTAGAACAAAGACAAAAGACCTGATACAAATGGAGAGGCCCATAACAACAGAGATACGTCAAACAACTGAAGACATGCGTTATAGCATCTGTTTGAACTCTAAACTCCTCATCCTGCAGGCAATGTCCCATCTGTCTCAATAATTTTATTACAACAAAGAAACAAGAATCCAGACCTGTTGTATTCATTCTTCTTTTTACTGTCTTATTCTAATTAGAGTTACTTTGGTACTGCATGCATTTAGTTTGTATGGGGGAAAGACTGTAAGACTTGGAAACTGATCAGAGATTATTTCCCACACCAACTTCTATGGAGAAGTGCTGCTGGTTGCTAGTAAAGGAAACAATTCATACATACTTTTCATCCATCCATTTTTGTCCGCTTATCCGGGGCCGGGTCGCGGGGGCAGCAGCCTAAACAGGAACTCCCAGACTTCCTTCACCCCAGACATGTCCTCCAGCTCCTCCGGCGGGACCCCGAGTCGTTCCCAGGCCAGCCGAGAGACATAGTCCCTCCAGCGTGTCCTGGGTCTTCCCCGGGGCCTCCTCCCGGTGGGACATGCCCAGAACACCTCCCATACAGCGACCGCATCACTGCCGAAGCTGCACCGATCCGCCTGTCAATCTCACGTTCCGTCCTTCCCCTCACTCGTGAACAAGACCCCGAGATACTTGAACTCCTCCACTTGAGGCAAGGACTCTCCACCCACCCGGAGAGGGCAAGCCACCTTTTTCCGGTCGAGAACTATGGCCTCAGACTTAGAAGAGCTGATCTTCATCCCAGCCGCTTCACACTCGGCTGCAAACTGCCCCAGTGCACATTGCAGGTCCTGGTTCGATGAAGCCAACAGGACAACATCATCTGCAAACAGCAGAGATGAAATCCTGTGGTCCCCAAACCGGACCCCCTACAGCCCCTGACTGCGCCTAGAAATTCTGTCCATAAACACAATGAACAGAACCAGTGACAAAGGGCAGCCCTGGTGGAGTCCAACATGCACCGGGAACAGGTCTGATTTACTGCCGGCAATGCGAACACAGCTCCTGCTCCGGTCATACAGGGACCGGACAGCCCTTAGCAAAGGGCCCCAGACCCCATACTCCCAGAGCGCCCCCCACAGGACACCACGAGGGACACGGTCGAATGCCTTCTCCGAGTCCACAAAGCACATGTGGACTGGTTGGGCAAACTCCCATGAACCCTCGAGCACCGATGGAGAGTGTAGAGCTGGTCCAGTGTTCCACGGCCAGGACGAAAACCACACTGCTCTTCCTGGATCTGAGGTTCGACTGTCGGCCGGATTCTCCTCTCCAGTACCCTGGCATAGACCTTACCGGGAAGGCTGAGAAGTGTGATCCCCCTATAGTTGGAACACACCCTCCGGTCCCCCTTCTTATACAGAGGGACCACCACCCCGGTTTGCCAGTCCAAGGGTACTGTCCCTGACCGCCACGCGATGTTGAAGAGGCGTGTCAGCCAAGACAGCCCTGCAACATCCAGAGACTTAAGGTACTCAGGACGGATCTGTCTAGTACACACCAGCCCGCCACCGCTCCCCGCGGCAAACGCCAGAGAAATGGAGAGTCCAGCCCCTCTCAAGGAGTTGGGTTCCAGAGCCCAAACTGTGCGTGGAGGTGAGGCCGACTATATCTAGTCGGTAACGCTCGACCTCCCGCACAAGCTCAGGCTCCTTCCCCCCCAGCGAGGTGACATTCCATGTCCCCAGAGCTAGTCTCCATGTCCGGAGATCCGGTCGCTGAGGCCCCCGCCGTCGACCGCTGCCCAGATCTCTCTGCACCGGCCCATATGGCTCCTCCCGCGGGTGGTGGGCCCACGTGAGGACGGCCCCACGTCGCTCCTTCGGGCTGAGCCCGGCCGGGCCCCATGGGGGAAGGCCCGGCCACCAGGCGCTCGCTGATGAGCACCCACCCCAGACCTGGCCCCAGGGTGAGGCCCCGGTGACGCCAATCCGGGCGACGTCTTTGGCCTCTGAGTGGACATCATCATACAGGGCTTCTGAACCGTTCTTCGTCTGACCCGTCCCCCTGGACCTGTTTGCCTTGGGTGACCCTACCAGGGGCATGAAGCCCCCGACAACATAGCTCCCGGATCATTCAGGCACTCAAACCCCTCCACCACGATAAGGTGATGGTTCAAGAAGGGGCATACATACTTATTTATTAAACTAAATTAAAAGTAATAGTATGTCATTTTTTTGGAGGTGGAAACTCAACTGCATGAGTAAATAGAAAATTAGAATCATTCAGGTTTGTGGAGATGCAATCCCACACTGTGTAAGAAGGACACCTGTTTTTCTACAATTGTCAGTGCAATAAAAACACCCATAGTGAAAAAATATACTTTTATTTTAGTCTCTTTTTTGCAAGACTGCAAGAATCTTCTTGGTAACAATTCAGCCCAAACTCATCATTAGTGAAATAAGGTGCCATTAAATAGTACATAAACAAAGGTAAATAGTATTTCTTAACACTTTACATATGCATTTTAGCCATTAAGAAAACATGACAAAATCCAGAAAACAAGTAGGAAGATTGACATGAGCCGTTGGTTTGGATTCTAATAGATTAAAAGACTTCACTGGCCATGTTAAATGGGAACATTAGCTGGTGGTAGAGCATTGTGTCTAAGGTGACCACACACCACTGTTATAGAAAAGGATCATTCTCCACAATAAGTGTAAAAACTCATCAGCTACAGGAACACATGTTCTTTTGTGTGCAAACAACTAGCCTTGTAACAAGTCATGTCCTCGGCTTCCAATTGCATTTCATGCCTTCAGGACTGAAGAATTTCAGGGAAGAGTCTATCAGTGAAAATTGCATAAAAATCACACACCCACCCACACACACACACACACACACACACACACACACACACACACACACACACACACACACACACACACACACACACACACACACACACACACACACACCCACACACACACACACACACACACATTCACACACACACACACACACACACACACACACACACACACACACACACACACACACACACACACACACACACACACACACACACACACACACACACACACACACACACACACACACACACACACACACACACACACACACACACACACACACACACACACACACACCCTTGTAATATTATGATTAAGAGGAAAAACACTTGTGTTGCCAGAAAATGCAGAAGTGACATCATACAAGCCAAATGTGTTGATTATTCAGGACTAAAGGTATCCTGATGATAGAAATAGCACTTTTAGAAAGGGAACTTTACAAAAATACCCACAATACTCTTTTAGGATCTGGAAATAATAGAAGCACTTCCTTTTTGTGTGCTTTAAGTAATTACAGTGTAAAACATGTGTAAAAACAACAAGTGTTAAAGCAACATATGGCAGCTTTTTGACAGTACAACCTTTCTGTGAGGAGGCGTGTGGACTAAATATCACAGTGGATTTGGTGGTTTGCAGCTTTCTCAAACAGACCTGTGTGCACAGACTCAGCAGACACAGGGCCATGTCCATCGATTATTTTTATTGTGCTTTTCATTTGCAGTTAGAGTAGCATTTCTTCACACTCACATTCAGAAGCACACCACAATGCTCTGTTTGTTCTTTTAGATAAATCAGTGCAGAGAGTTCAATTGTCATTTTATAAATCAGGCATTGATAATTGATAATTATATATTTCTATTAACTGCACTGTAAAAGTAAAAAATACATTTTGCATAATATTAATAATAGTGTGTAACTTTTCAAAGAAATAGACTAAATAAAATCATGTTTTTCTATATTGGTGTTTATTGCACTGTAAAACATGAGAAACATGCATCCTTACTCTGAGCAGGGTTGCAAAAATGAGTCTTTCTGTTTCCATGGAATCGTGAAGAACCACCTGTAGAATGTTTACATACAATACAATATCTTCAATCTTGTCATGTCTTCATCCTGTCAATGGTCAACCACAGGTTTGGTCAGCTGCAACATTTGCAAGAAATTATGTATTCTTATGCTATCTTTCTAATGCGCTGACAGTTTTATTTTGGTGAAACAAATATTATCAAACCATGACAAAAACAAATTGTTAATCTGTCAGACAGCTCACTCTTCATCACTGGCAGGAAAATATTGAACACAAATCAGTAACAGATCCCATCAAACTCAAATTGAAACTTCTTTCAGAAAGATGTGAACTAGTGATCATTAAAGATGTGGATATGAATCATCCTTCAATGCAGCAGGGACAACCTATCTTTATTTTGAATGGAAAAAATATGACAATGGTTGCATCACATCAGGAAGTCATGACAACATAAGACCTGTTAAAAAGACTTATTCCTCAATCTAAACCAAATAAGTGTGAGAGCATCTTGACAAGCATATATGGCAACATAACAAATAAAAGGTATGCTAAAACTAACACAAGAAATCTATTGTTATTTTCTGCATTGCTTTTCTAGTTTATTTGTACATGCTTTGTTGTGTACATTTCATGTGTTGACGTGAATTGTGTTTACAGCTGCCTGATAAACATGATTTGTTGTAGCCTTTCCACATCCTAACAATTGGCAACACTTCAGCTGTGCGTCTGCAGTCTTGTCTCTTCTCTATCTGTCTTCATTGAATCGCACACTGGAAAAAATCAATTGTCTGTGGTTTTTATCAAGTTGGAGACAGTGAGGTCATCCCAATTTAACAAACTGAAGAAATCTTCAGTGGTTTCTTCTTAAAGGGCCTATGATACTTCAAATTTCTGTTATATCATCATCAAAAACATGGATTTGTGCTTTGTTTCATTCACATATGTTTAAGACACAAACTATGCATATTTAGGCTCAAACTGAAAGCACTCTCTTCCACCTTGTGAGATATATATAGTGTATTATAGAGTAAGATATCTATGATATATATGCTCTAAACTGAGAACCATCCAGAGGAGTTCCACTCCATATGTGTAGTGAAATTCCAGATATACCAATACCATATGTATTCATGTGTGATCTTTTATTGTTTTTTTTATTGATCATGTGTGATTTTTTAACATTACGTTAATGTCTTTCATGGTCAAATAACTGGAGATAGCAATTTGCAAACTTTCTTAATTTATTCAAAAAATCTTAATTTATTCAAAAAATCTGCTTCATGTATGATAGTTGTTGTAGAGTTTCACTAAATGTTTGTATTTTTGCTTATGTTTTCAGTGACAATTGTATGTGACTAAAATACCATAGCCTTTTACATTTGTGTCAAAGTTTAGACAACACAATGCCTCATTCAGGGACAAATGAGGTCAGATGATGCTATGCTGATTTTGTCTAACTTCATTATCTCAAAATGACATTTGCAATTATCTGTTGTTAATTTGGTGGTGATACCTGATAATATCCATTACCAAAACTGCGATCTTTTGAAACAGAAAGTCAAAACAGCCTATAGAAAGTATGTATATAGGTCATGGTCTATCAATAAATTTATCATGATGTTTTTGAAACATGACTAACACTCTGTAACTTTTAAGGATTTTTAATTTTGGGTTAAAGGTTACTGTTAACAGAAAGGAACATATTCTCTAACAGCTTGTTATTTGTACAGAAGAGGTGCTTTTGTGATTTGGTTTACTGCCACAAATGTGAACACTTCCCAAACCCTAACAAATGTTCAATGTATGTTTTCAACCCCATTTGACACAGACGTTGTTGACAAAATGAGGACGGAAAAGTATTAGATTCACCACTATGGCAAAAGAGACTGTAAATAATAGAAATGGTATTAAGAGGGCATAAAGGCCATCAGTGTGTGCTGATGTGTGCGCATATGCTCGCCGTGGGCTCAAATTGGACATGGCCGTCTCATTAGTGTGCTTATCCCACAGCTGCACAGGCAGAGCGGCTCACAGCGGCTCAGTGCACTTAGATCAGGATCTGAAGAATGCCTCATCCTGACAGCGTGCACTGCCCGCTCCTCTCTGCCCCATGTGCAGGTGAGCGAAGAATGAAAGAGGTGTGCTTAAGATTTCCTGATGATTCTTAATCTGTAAAGAAGGAGCAATTTGAGACAACTTTCCACTTGATTACAAACTTCTCTCTTGACTTTTTCATACATATGTCAGGCTTGTTTAAAAATGTGGCGAGACATTAGCTGTGTCACCACCACAGTGCATTTTCTTTTTATAATATCTGCAGTCATTATTCACTTCATATACTGTTGTGGTCAGATATTACTGTAGCCACAGCTGCCCTGGGGTAGACTGACAGAAGCGAGGCTGCCAGTGTGCATCATCAGCCCCGTGGCCACCACTCATCACTCATGCACATGTCACATTCTTTAAAGCAAAGTGTGTAAAGTGTCTTGATTAAGGACACAGCCACAGAATTGGGTCCAAGCTCTGACTTTTGAGTTGGTTGATGAGTGCTCTGAGGAAAGCCACTTATGATGAACTGAAGGCATGCACTGTTCGAACAACCAATTATATTAATTAAGTGCTTCAGAGATGTTTAATTCTATACTATAATAGACATATTTGCAAATTATTAAAAAGACAAAAATCTATAAAAAATCTTGTGCAGTGCACTTAATGTTTTAAATTATGTTGATTTTTTAATGAATCTTGTTGAATTTTGTAGAATATTGTAGAATACCGTTGAATTTTGTTGTATTTTGCGGACAATGACAAATCTTATTGAGAAATTTGTGGATCGCCAGTCACTCAGTTATCACATTGTGTGGCACTACAATACCCCTATGTACCATTGTGGAGCAGTTACTTAGCTTGGTATGCCTAACTTCTCTGTTCTTTTGTTTTCCCTGGTGGGCTGGGGTCTTCAGCGCTTAGAGCCTGAGAAGTACAACCCCACATCACATGACCCAAGGCGTCCAGCGTGAGCCCACCAGGTTCAGGAGCATTATGAGGGCCGAACTACGAAACTAGATCAAAGCGCCAAGCACACATCTACTGTCTGTGGAGTGCACCAAGTTCAAGGCCGGACCAATGGAAACCCAATGGAAGACTTAAAGGTATGTCCATACTCACAATAATGATAGCAAGTAAGGATAATAAAACGCAAATCTTTAAATGTATGTATTTTAGAATGTGGTTTAAAATGATTCCCACTTTCCATGTAGTGAACTGTATTAAATCCATAGGAGATTATCTCTAAACAGAATTCCAGACATTTGGAATTCAGAACACTTAATCCTATTTGCTCTGCTACACTGACATTTTTTCATTTGGTTCTTTCCATGACCCAAAAAATCTATGGTTTGAAACTTTATATTGCTCTAAACAAAATAAGTATATTTTTCATCTTTTTTTCTGCCTTGTCTGTTGTGGTAAAACATGTGAACAACATGATTATATGTATGGCTCTGTATCAGCTTGGCAGAAAAGACGTGCAGCAGTTCAGTAGTATGTCTTTGTAAAAATAATTCCCTTTATCCAAAAACGTTCATTTTATCTTCTTTTTTTACATTATCTTCTTGGGTTCTTCTTAAAGACGATACACCCCCAACACCAGTGACAGTTCTGAAAATGTCTTGCAGGTACATCCCCAACCCAAGAATCCAAGAAGTTAATGTAATACTCTTTACTTTTAAATAGCAGTATGTAGTTAGTGATTGTAGTACCCATTTCAGTTGTAGTACCCAAGCATGGTACTTAGTATTGCATGGTTGTTGTTGTTGTTTTTGCTGCTGTTGTTGTTGTAACTGTTGTGACTTGGTTGAAGTACTCTGAATTTTGTACTACTACTAGGACTGCATGATGAGGGAAATTTGACAACATCTGATAACTATGTTTAGTATTGCCATAAAAATATGTCTGCAATATCTTAATATCCTGACTAAAATGTGCTCTTTTTAGTTTTTAATGATAAGACAAAACTGTTAAATGAAGAATGTTGATGCAATATGGGCTACATATATACATAAATACCTACATACCTACATACATACATACATACATACATACATACATACATACATACATACATACACTTTTAATTAAATTAACCTTTCCTGTATTATAACCACTATTTCCACACAAGAAACTTCACCATCTTTTTAAATCTCGAGTCGTCACAGTAATATGTGTGTAGTCTTCGCTGGACTTGTGGTTGATTGTGTTTATGGAGAGAATAAATGCATGAATTGAATCTCCTATTAATCACAGCCATGCATGTGATGTTACTAGTCAAGCTCAGAACAGTTGGCGAGTGATGCACGGTCTCTTAAAGGTCAGCAGAGGTATCAGTGGACTTATTTTGACAGATACTGACAGATATGCTTGGCACGTGGGTGTGTGAAGTCACATGGATTTGTAATAAATTAGTCATAGGATCATACACAAATACACCAAGAGTAGATATCTTAACAGAAAAAAATAATACTCTTTTTTAAGCTTTCCATAGGATCAAGTTTGTCTGAAACTGGGCCTAGTTGCTTTGCCCTCTCAATCCACCTTCATAGAAAAAAACAGGCTTCAACAGAGTTCCTCTTCTTATCCTAACCACAGACATTTTGTAAATGTCTATTTTGGGAAAATAATTGTAATATCTGAAGTTTCCCAGAAAGAAAGGAAGTACCAGCATTAGTATATCAAATTTATAGACCAAAAAGGTTTCTGCTTGACTAAATACAGTATAGTAAATTGAGTAAATATAAGGACATCGTCCCAGTCTTTATAGTTGATAACCCTGAGGAAAACCTGACTTTTAAAAGACACCAGCTCCACGTGCACAGATCCATGGCGTGCACTGACCTATTCCTACTACTGCAGGCACATTCATTGGAATAATGCTGTGTCTTTGTGCACTGCTTTTGAGGGTAGACCCTGTGCAGACTAAGAGAGAGGCTTTTGTTTTACACTGTATCCAGAATATAGCCAGAATGTGCAGTTTGATACATAGCAGTATAAAAGGATAATTCTACGAACTGGGTTCTACTTGGAGACAGTGCAATGCTTTTATTTGATTTTCCCTCGCATTATTTCCCCATATTATGTAAAACTAACTTTTATAAGCTTTTAACCATGTCACAATGGTGATCTCTCACCATTTTCTTATTCAGAGTTGTATTTTGATTGATACATGTATGAGAAATCCTGTATTGTCCTGCATTTGAGACTTCAGTGCCTGAAATCCTGAATGTCTACTGCTCAATACTTATTTGGGATTATTCAAACTTAACAATAAGGCAAAAATGTATTTCAACAATAAAAAAAAAACTGTACATAAAAGCTGTAAATAAGCTGTTTGCTACTGTGAACTGCAACGACAAACAGGTGGGGGCAATCAGTTCCACAGTTAGGACGTAAATAAGAAGTAAAAGTACCTGAGAAAGAACAAATTGTAAACTCACAATGTACATAAATAGACTAAATAACCAAGAAAAGTCTTTTTTAACCTTTGACCATGGTGTTGATGTCGGGAACATTGTGTGGTATACTGTTCACATTTGTTAGCGTGCAGCGAGTTTGGTTGCATTAAGTAGACAACTAGCCTCAGTATGTTTATGTATCTCCTAAATTAGGCACTATTGTCAGTCAATTTAAACAAGTGCATGTCCTGTCCCACACAGACCACACAATGTGTCTCATTCTTGGAAAAAGGATGTTCCATTCTTGCCCTGTAGGCTAAGCAGAGAAGAAGACGCAGCTTTGTCCTCATCTCCTCCTCTTGAAGTGGTCTGTCTAGATGAAATTCAAAAGAAAGAATCATAACTAATGGCATAAAGCAAGATGGGGTAAATACTTACATACAGTACATAATATTTTGCAATAAAGAACAAAATCAACCTTTATAAACCATTTCAGAATATTGTTCCCAGATTAAAAACATTGGAGTTATAGTCATACATGCTAGATTCATAAAGCCCCTGAAAAAAGTCTGAAATATTCCAAGATTGTGAGGTCATACGTAGAGACTAGTAGGCAACCAGATTTGGAGTGGATATCAATATTTAGTCAAAATCAATTTAATGACACCCCTTTTATGCAATCTACATCGCAAATTAGTATATTTATTTTTACTTACATTAATTGCATGTATAATTAGCCATTTTGGAGTCAAATTAGAAGTTCTAGACTTATTTTTTAATTTATTACTGCATGCTTATGTCAGTATGTCTGTGTTATTCATTCTCTAGTTTAATTGCTTTCCCCTATGGCAATTCCCTCTGATGCCAGTGGATAGCGAGCTGTACAAGATCAGAGTATGGGGAGCGCTAAGGCAGTGAAATAATGTCTGTTCCTGAACCATTATTATACGTTTTGAGTCAAAAAAATGCCAAAGCAAAGGTATACTCCAAGAGCATGTTTAAAATAGTAAGTCTGGATTTGATAACATACTAGTACGTCAAGCAATTTATGGGATGAAAATAAATCTGAAATAAAAGGTGTTGAGACTTTAAAGCTTGCTCTTCTCAAGTTATTGAAGAACACAATGTTACTTTACCACTGCAGTCATCTCCAAATGGATCAGCTATGACAAGCTCTTGTTTTAGTGTTTTTGTCCAAGTATTTATCCTCAAAGTAAATATGATGTTAGATATCCTTAAAATTTCCCATGTCCCCTGAAAAACAAAAGAGTGAGTGTTCTTTCCGTCACCCAACATGACTCCTGCTTGTTTTTGTAGGCATGCATTTTGGGTTATCTTTCAGGCCACTTTCACAAACCATATTAACACATCCTCCCATGATGCCCCTTGAAGCCATATTATAATGTGTTCAGTTTGTATTGGCATCTCATTTGGGCATCATTTTCTTTTAGACAAAATGCTAAACTCCCATTTAAAGGCTTGTGGAACAGAAACAATTCATGTTTGGGAAGGACATTTTAAGTGATGAGTTATTTGTGTTGTCCATTCACCATGACTGTGCTGAAAATGGTAGAACAGTATGGCATGTTTTATTCCAACTTTTTATTCCAACCTTGCTGACAATAATCTACCCAGGACATTTGTGGCAGTACTCGAGCTGCTTTCCACCAGACTTTGGGTACAGTGAGAATTCTCAAAACCTCCCTGCTCTCATAGCAGCAGTAAGATTTCTTGAAAATCCTACAGCTATTCAGTTGTATTCTTATAGAAAAGTGATGCTTGTTAGCAGGCTTGACCTCGATCGAATTCCTGTGGCAATAAAACTCCGAAAGTTGTGTTTAGTTAAAACCATAGCTAACGTGACTAACTTTAGTTTAGTTTAAACTTTACTAACTCCTCCTTTCTTGTTTGAAAGCGACACAGCCTTTTTGAGTATATATGTGTGTATAAAGCAAAACACCAAGCACAGATGGACAGATGGTTAGAATATATATTTTCAAGTAGGAAGAGCATGTTAGGACATACCCTCTAACAAGCTGCAAGCTAACTTAAGGTTTAGCGTGTCTGATATTGAGGGAACAATCCCCACAGAACTGTTGCTTGTTTAATAATTCACCATTCATGGCATAAGCCAGTTCCCATTACGACTGCTGTTACTGTTTTCACTATAGCTAAAGACTCATGTTCCTACACAATCTGCTATAGTAGTTGTAAGAACATGTGACCTGGAGTTGGCTGCCTCTTTGATACTTATCACCTATAGCCACCAACCTCTCCTAAAATAGTGGAGTGAGTCACATGATGAAGAGACAAAACACTGGCAGTCTGCAGTCCAGACCACACCGGAAGTCTGCTGCTGAGTTTACAGAGACATGCTTCCATTATAGTGTATGTGCACAGTTAATGATGTCTTTATGAAGACCGGCTCGAGGCAGGGTCAGAGATGAGAGAGAAGAGAGAGAGGCAGTCCACACTCAAAGAAACACTTCTTCCAGCATGCTATAGCATTATTTGTCCCCTGTCATGCTCAAAGAAATCCCTTTCAGTCCAGTTGACTCCTCAGTGATCCGGTCAGTAAAGCATTGTGCTCTTCCCCAGCCACACTGGTGGGGCATGCAGGGCTCCAGCCAAATTAATTTTACCTTGCCATGTTTTAGCATACCAGTGTGGCCTTCTGACTGTCGTGACTGTCCTTTTAGCTGTTCACTGGATTTTCTCTGACTCAGCTGATACACCTGACAAATCATTCCACCCTAACCCTAACCCTGGAGTCCCTCCTCTTCAGCCATTCTGCAAAACATATTCTGCCATCAATGAAATGAAGAACAATACCTGAATAAAGACGTTCTATTGACATTTTTCTTCGCAATCAAATGTGTGGTCAAGTGATGAATTTGTTTGCCTCTTTTCTACAAAACTTAGGTGTATGAACCTATGATCCATCACACAACACCTCCCAGAACCACCTCTCTGTTATGGTCATAGGGCATCATAAATGTTTAACATCCTGCTTGGACTCAGTGTTCCCAATGTGGTCTGTTACCATGGTGATGATAAACAGTCCAGAGCTGCCTGGTTAAGTGACATGAATAGTTCTGTGTCTTTGCAAGGGTCAAGGGGTGTCAACGATCTGTCGAAATGTTATTGGTCCTCAAGGCACACGTCTACTCTGGCCCATGTGCTCCCCTTAAGAGGAAGGTAATAAACCTCTATCTCACAAAGACACTATGAATAAAGCTGTATTTGCTTTAGGGAAAAACCAAATACACTCTTTGTCAATACATGTTCCAAAGCCAAAGGTCTGGCTGAAGGAAAAGGCCATGCTGCTGAGCAGGACAAAGAGGCGCTCTGGTACAGGCACACAAAGAGAGCTTTCTCAGTTATCTCTGACTGTGTCCAGCCAGAGGCTCTGCTCATCTGCGCTCACCTCTCAGACACATTCCACTCATCCTCTCTGAGGCCGACTCTACACACACATACACACACACACACACACCCACACGCACACACACGCATACATGCAAGGTCTCCGTTAAGGTCTGCCATAAACAAACAGCACAACAGGAACTGCAATGGACCCCAAAGATGATTTGTTTGTATTTCAGTTCATACTTTATTATGCATAGACAGAAAGTAAGGTCTATTGCATGTGCATTTGAACAAAAGTGTGTGATCAGAACTAAGAGGGCTTAATTCTAGGGATGTCCCAATCATATTTTTTGCCCCCGAGTCTGTGAGTTTGTTGTCCCCAAGTCATTTGATTTGGAGTATCTGCCGATAGTGAGTTCTGATCCGATACTTCAATAAAATTATTAAATGAACTAAGAGCAAAGAATAAGATCCAGGATGTTTGAGGGATCAGATTGTGTTGATTTCATGTGTAGCATTTGGGCTGAACTTGTGAAAAATCAAATGTCCATAACTTTAATTTTTTTAAATTAATTTTTCTAAACATGCACCATCATTGTTGAAAATCTTGACTTTTCACAGTCTGGTCTTGGAATGTGTAACTTAGTAAACTTAATGAACTGGACAAAACAGGAACCAGACCAGAATCAGATCAGACCTGAGACTCTGCACAATCTACACTTTGTATATTTGATATTATATGGAAGAATGTGCATTATGTTTGAAACATTTAGGCTCGTCTATGAAATCCAAATAATACTAAATCTTATCAAATAAAAATGAGATGACAGAAGCCCCACAGCCTCTCTCCAACAGCCGCCCCCACTGCCCCGCACCACCACCACATCCACAAACCCACCCCGGAGTGCGCACTGCAACATCGGTCCCACCGCTCAACAGACACTTCATGCCGCTTTCCCCACCCTCCCTGCCAAAAGTGCCAGCTCCGTTGCGCAACATGCAAACTAACAGCACCGTGCGACGACGCCATCGGCCGTGCAGGTGTGAACACGGGCCACAGAACCGCAGGTAACAGCGCCCGAGTACAGCACGGCCCAAAAGTCCCACCGACAGTGCGCCTCTAGTACAGGTGCTGGGACAGACAGTCGCGCTGACTGGACGTTCCTGAGTAAATCCCGCGTCTCAGTAAAACAAACATCAACTGTTGTGTGCTGTGTGTCCTGTGTGTTATATACATATATTATTTATCTGATACCTGATCAGACCATAACGGCCGAGTCCGGATCGAGCCCGCAGTCACGTGATCAGCGCCGATTTCCGATCACGTGACCGGATCGGGACAACCCTACTTAATTGAACCCGGGGCCATGAGTGCACAAAAAGTGATCAAACATTTAGTGAAGCTAAATGCAGTGTGACATTCATGTATCATTTTGGTGAAAGTGGGCTTTTGTCTGTCACCGAATATGCAACAGTAAAGTAAGCTTCTGTTAGAGACAGAATGGGCTTTTGGATCTGTCACAGATTCAGAAATTTGTTTGCTTACAACCATCCAAGAACCAAAACATCAGTTGTGTCCTGTTATATTTAGACTGATGGGTGTAATTATCCATGCTTTGTATAACTGAATCATAATGAATGTTTTGAATTTTTCTTATCTTTATGACATTTTTAACTTGAGTAAAAACTCGCCCTTGTTTGCCTGTTGAATGAGATGCCCCACAAAGCCTCAGAGCTCCTTTGAGGACAAGTCCGGACAAATGCACAACAGTATCACTGATTTGAGCACTTGTCCACCAACCCAAAGGTCAGACAATTGATTTCTACTCCGACCAGTGCAAACGGGTCTTGTGTTCTTTGGCAAGACACTTCACCCACCTTGTCCCTCAGGGCAAATAAAAATCAAATCAACATTGTTTTTTATTGATATATTTTCTGTGATATCTGAGTGCTTTGTCGCAATGAACAAAAAATATAATGTTTAGTAAAACATGATTTCACTAAATCATGTTTTTGTCAAGATTTAGTGAAATCATTCTTTTTCATTAAAGAAGACAAAGTGTCTTGCTAATTAGTCAATTACCACAATGCATTTACAAAAAGACCAAACCTCACATTAGCCTTTGTATGTTTAGAGATGCTCGATTTCTTTTTTCTCCTTTTCAACGGAGTCTTGGTGAAGAGGCAGCAGATCAGTCTAACAAACCAAACATGCCAAAGCAACAGGCCTGCTTCTAGTGCTGCTTGGCTTCAGAACCTCCTTCAGCTGTTCAGCACAAACAATATTGTCATTTTTAATATTCAAATGTACATGCTGCTATTTCGATATTACTGGCTGGCTATATGAAGAATTTTATAGACAGTATATTTTAAACCAGATTCCATACTTCTGTGATCATCACAGTTGCTTGTTTTCTGACCGGATGTCACACCATCCACCATCCAAGTTCTTTGTTATTGTCACTGGGATGTGCACAGACCATACAGTGTGATAGTGTCCAGAGATTACTAGTAGACTTCACCTTCTGCTGAGGCAGAGAAGAGGGCAGAGGTGATGTACTGTGCCTTTATGTTCCATCTGTGGTTTTCACATGTGAAAAAAGAAACAGATTCTTTTGCTCCAGGCTGGATGTTTGTCATTGAAGAAAGCTGCACATTCATACAAATTGTGGTATGAAGGAAGGCATCAACAGACATTAACAAATAACAATTAAAATATATATATATATTTTTAAAAAATGCAACAGACCAAAAGATTAGGTCTGGTGTGAACATTTCATTTACACAATTTGGTTTAGTAACTATAATAACTAACATAAACATTAGTTTGAAGTATGCGTTCTAGGTTCTTAAAAGTGATATACCGCAGGGTTGTTTTTTCTGACTTGCATATTTTTATGCAAGGTGTGTGTAAAAATAAATAAATAAACATTTTGGTGAACATCCCTCCAAAGTATTAGTTTTTGTGGCAACACTTTTCTAAACAAATCATAAATTGCGCTCTAGTGGTGAAGTACTTCTGTACATGCTTTATATTAAGGCTGATTGCAAATGTATAATTAAAATGCATCAATATTAATTTCTTGTTTCATTATAAGAAAAAAAAAAAGTTTTCTGGAAACATCTGTACTGATTATATGACATAAATCCTTTTACCTCTCACTATCCCAGGAAGCTGTCCATCCATACATTTTAAATGCTAAAATACTTGATTCACCTTTTTGTGTATTTGTGACCTACAACAATGGAAACTCAAATTAAATTAACCTCAGAAATCCCCAAAAGGGTGGGGCTTCTAGACACACAATGCATTTTGGTTTTCATGCAGATAGTTGTAGCCAAACAGTAGCATTGATTGTTTTCCGGTCACTCAGAACAAATAATGTTTTATACTAGATGAGCAGAACTAAAGATTAAACGTTATTGGCCTGGAGGAAGCTGGGGTTCGCAAACTACTGGCCAGAGAAGAGAAAAGGCTGCTTTGTACTCTGGAGGTGGTGACGTCAAATGGGCTATAAAGACATAAATTCATAGATTTAGCTGGAAAAACAGTGCACTGGGAGGATGAGACCTCCCCTGTCCTTAACTTGCATAACTAATGAGCTTGGAGTCTAGGATAAATGAGGTTGGATTGGTTACTTAGACTGGATTTGCACATACTTGGGAGCTGTAGGCCAACCATACAAAGGGATTATAACTGTGTGTGAACAGTCAGAGAGATCATGTTGGAGATGCTTGAATACAGCCATTATCAGGTGAGCATGAAATATATTTAATAATAGAAAAACAAAAGTTAACTTTACTACAATGGATTTGAAACAAACAAACAAACAAAAAAAAAAAAAAAAAACAACTAAGCAGTAAGCACACATTTATTTTGCAAGTATTTAAGACAAATGTTTGAATAATTGCCTCACTTTATTTCACCCTCTAGTTTTTAATTTAGTAGAATCTGAAAGTCCAGTGGTAAATGATTAGTTTTCTTTTTTTTTTTTCAACTTGATATGGCTATGGTTCTTTCCAGAGAAATTTGGTGGGCCACATCTTCTCTCTTTAGCCAATAACCTAGTCTCCCAATGGCACTTTTGCAGTTTAGGGTTTGACTGTTAGCTGCAGTGACCGTCTGTAATTTGAGTGGTGATATTTGTTTTGTGCAGACCCACCTAGAGAACCCCAGTAAATACCACCTCCAGCAGGCTCAGAGGCAGCAGGTACGGCAGTACTTGTCCACTACACTGGGGGGTAAGACAGGCAGCCAGTGTCCCAGCCAGCCCCCAGAACACGGCATGCCCCCCGGTCCAGGCAGCAGCGCCCCCAACAGCCCCATGGCCCTGCTCACACTGGGCTCCAACTGTGAAAAAGAGGTACTACAAACTTGATTGTTTTTATAAATTATATCATTAATTTGTTGTTTTACTGAAACATGTATTTTTATCTTAGATGGACGATGTCATTGACGATATTATCAGTCTTGAGTCGAGTTACAGTGAGGAAGTTCTAGGACTCATGGATGCTGGAATACAGATGAACAATGGGGTAAGATGAAAATATTTACAACATTACATCATTTGACACAGTTTAATGATTTAGTTATTTATTTGGTTTATAAAAACAGGGACAATGTAAATTATAAACAAAAATCTATATTTCTGTAAATGTACAATAATTATTCAGAGGCAATTTTTCTTCTGTAGTCCCTGGACAGAAGGTCCCTAAAAACACAACATGAAGAGTTTTACAGCATTAAAGACATTTTTTACAAGACACACATTACTCATTCAAAACAGGATTATAATCTCATGGCCTTAACTATCTTTGGCCCTTACATCTGGTGAGGGCCCCTAAGATACTACAGCATCCAGCACTTCACACTAGAACAATAAAGTTACATTTTTTTTTGTAATTGTTGTTATGTATTTATTGTACTTTATAGCTTCAGGTTTCAAATAATATCCTTGATGTGTATGGAAACCAAGGACTCCCTCTGACAGGCCTTGGTATCAGTAACTCCTGCCCACCCAACCTCAAAAGGGAATACACAGGTAAGCCTCTGATTTTACAGCTCCAAATGTGTATGTCCAACTATTGTGTTGTTTTTACTGTTTTAAATTGTAAATGGGGTTTAGCTCAATGTAGTTACAATGGGCAAGCAGGTATAATAAAACTAGAGTGATCATTGCCATGGTAACCTATATTAACAAACATCCACTTCCAGCAGCCATGTTCTGGATGTTTTTGTTTTGCTTTTTTCTTTTGATTTGACTTCTGCTTTATATCCAGGTCCCACATACTAATATGAACACAATTTAAAACAGTGATAAATGTACTAATACATGTTTAAATGTTTAAAATAAATCTCGGTAACACTTTATAATAACTACACCTTATTTAGCCTTAATAAAGCATGAACAAAGGCTTAATTAATAATGATTCATGCTTAGTAACTACTTAATTACTACCTGAATTAGCACTTGCACTTCATTTGCCTGTGCTGTAAATAGTTACTCATAATTATTTCATACTTAATTACTCATGGACTAACTATTTGAGCATTTATTAATCATTAGTAAACTATGAGAGAATGATTTACTAATAATGCAATACAATGATCATTCAGGCAGCTGTTATCTGTTAGTTACGTCTTTTTGAGAGCTTTTCTAAAGTGAAGACTAATTATCATTTATTAAGCATTTACTAAGCATGAATCATTGTTAATTAAGTATTTGCTCATTATTAATTAAGTCTTTGTTCATGCTTTATTAAGGCTAAATAATGTGTAGTTATTATAAAGTGTTACCTAAATCTTATATATGTGTCTTAGTTAAACGTAATAATAATAAAGGTTGTGCCTGCACAGTGTACTGAGATGCAAACATACTGTAATGCTGCGTTTATTGCAGGCCAGTGACACAACTAAAATTCCCTACATTACTGGGTCTTCAAAGCTACAATTCTAACTATGTGAATGAAAGGCCTTTAATCAATGACATTTAAAGCCGTGTTTTTACAATATTTTCTCTTTGAATATTGCTCGTCTTACAGTCACAAGCTGGCCTCCATAATTGCCACAGCCACTGTCTCGATGGCTCCTCTTGCTTTATTTATACCTGACCAGAGGAGACTATGTTGTGTGATGTAGGCCAATGCTGGTATTGTGTGCAATTTACTCTAGCTCCTGGCATGAAGCAAGTTCTGGACAAGACTGGATCCTGTGGCCACTATGAAAACTATCAAAGGCCAGAGGGTTTTCCAGTAGGTAAGCAACAATCAAACTCAATATGATTCACAATGTACAGTGTTTAATGTGAGAGCAAAGTGCACACAATATCAATCAAATACAGCACATACTAAGTTATTGTCGTAGGAACATAAATCTTTTCAAATGTAGAAAATACTATATGTTGTGTTATGTATCACATTTTGATCTTTTTTTTTTTTTTTCTAGAAGCTGAAGTCCGCGCTCTGGCTAAAGAAAGACAGAAGAAAGACAACCACAATTTAAGTAAGTGTATGTGTAACTTTAATCTATGCCTGTAAGATTAATCACAGTCAAATCAAAATTACAATTTAAATAGACACAATGAACAGATCGCAAAGACTGCAAAGTTTAAAGTACAACATTTCCTTCTCAAACAACATTTCTGCAGTCACAACTATTCCACATGAACGCATTTATCCCTGTAATGTGGATCCGTACGAACACGTTCTGAGATGTGAGTCTTGTATTAGTTTGGCATTTCTTCCGGAAGTGTTTAAAATGTGAACTTTAAACGAATTCCAAACCTGATCACAGTCACAATGCTTGTCAGGACAAATCATTTTATTTTACACAATATTTTTTCCTGGAAATGTTCAGCCCTTGTTTCTATTTGTATGGGAAATTATATCATTTTGTGTTGATGTCTTGCAGTCGAAAGAAGACGAAGATTTAACATTAATGATCGCATCAAAGAATTGGGCACGTTGATACCGAAGTCCAATGATCCGTGAGTGTGGCCTGTCAAAAAGATTCACTATACATCTCCTTTGCTAATTATCAACTCAAACTCATTAGCTGAAGACTAATTAGTACAAGCAGAAATCATGTGACTTTCAGCTGACTTACCCTGTGCTGTGTGTATGTTAGGGACATGCGCTGGAATAAGGGCACCATTCTTAAAGCATCCGTAGACTACATCCGAAAACTACAGCGAGATCAGCAGAGGGCCAAGGAGCTGGAGTGTCGGCAGAGGAAGATGGAGCACACTAACCGCCACCTCCTGCTCAGAATACAGGTAATGTGATAATGCCATACTCCCTAATGGGGGACAAGATCCGGTTTTCCCTAATGATAATACTGTATTCTCAAAATGTCTAACAGATACATTTACAAATGTTGAAGCTGATCATTTCTATTAGTGACAAGAACCAAGAACTTGATATATTATAACAGAAATCTTGAACATCTTTATTGTCCCCCATCTTTATTTAATAAAACTAGACTAGTTGATGTCATCTGAAACTTGAAATTTAAGAAATGGTGAATTTTCTTTATTGTCATTTATTCACAGTTATTCTTAAAAGCTATTTAGCGATGTTGTCCACTCTCTTTGGGATCTATTTATTCTTTTTTTTTTTTCATGCTTATTGATTTCATTTGCAAATATAATTTATAGGGATGTAACAATATCCAAATCTCACTGTACGATAATTTCACGATATACATCTCACAGTATGGTATTTGGCTCCGGTCAAGTGGTAACGGAGGGAAACAGGGGCAGATTTTTGACATTCAAATGTCTCTTATTCAGAAACTAGAGGGACTATTGAAATAAGTAAAGTATCAGAATGTAGGAAAGAGTTACACTCCAACAGGGTCAAGTTAAACCTGTGATATTCTTTCAAGTTGTTGACAAAAAATTTTTTAAAAAACTCATGTCAGTAACGGAGGGAATGAAATATGCAGCACTTTTTGGGCAATAAATACAAACAGTGATAACTCTTGGTTCTCACTTCCATATCCTTAACAAACTGGTTTGAATATTTGCTTCATATAGTTTTCTACCATATGGTACAAGATTAGGTTGAAAAACCTCTTACTTTTTGACTCATGAGATTTTTTATCAAGAAAGGTCATGGTAACGGAGGGAAAAGTAACGGAGGGAAAATTGTGCAAACAAGTAGAAGGTGCAGGATTTTACATCATTTGTCAACTTTTTTCTTCCAAATACTTTAATATTACTTCAAAATGAAAGGAAACTATTTCTATAAAATATGTTTTTTTTGAAAAATCAACTTGAATTTTTGGTCTTGCTGTTTACTTCTGCTTGACCGGGCCCATTTACTGCAGTATTTTGTGGAGACTAACAAAATTGTGAATATGCAACTTTTTCCTCTTAAAATGCCTTAAGACTTAATTTAAAAAACTAAGATTTAAAAGTGCTTAGAACTGCTATTTCTTCATGTAGTTTGCACCAAAATGGAGCAAAGGATCATGGTAGATGTAGTTCCCTCTGTTTTTTTAGTTAGTACTGCACCATAACAATGAATTTAAGCAAAAGAACTTGTGATTCAATATACTGTGATGGCCCACAATATTACTGAGACTTTTGACGATACGATATCACAATATTTTGGTTATTGTTACGTCCGTAATAATTTATGAAAGATTCAAAAAACATGTATCACATTCATATAACAAGAAATTGAAACTATTACAAGCATTTAAATATGTTTATTATAAAAATAATGTAAAAAGAAAGTTTAAATGATCACCATATAACCTAACCCAGTGCTTCTGAAACGTTTTGCCCCGAGAACCATCTAGGAAAATATTTGTTTATCAGAGTGCCTCCAGATCTAAAGTTGGCATAAAACAGAATCATAATTAGGTGTAAAATAGGACTAACTAACCAGAAGGAGAATCAAAATAAGGATAAAATTTACTCTGAATTAAACAAACACAAGAAATGCAGAACAACCAGAAATAGACCACATACCACAATTTGAGAAACACTGACCTAACCTACAGTATAAGGACCAAATTGACATGTAACACATCTGCTGTAAGGGTGTGCAAAAATATTGAAATACCAATGGCTCCGGTCAAGTGTTAACGGAGGGAAACAGGAGCAGATTTTTGACATTCAAATGTCTCTTATTCAGAAACTAGAGGGACTATTGAAATAAGTAAAGTATCAGAATGTAGGAAAGAGTTACACTCCAACAGGGTCAAGTTAAACCTGTGATATTCTTTCAAGTTGTTGACAAAAAATTTAAAAACGCATGTCGGTAACGGAGGGAATGAAATATGAAGCACTTTTTGACCAATAAATACAAACAGTGATAACTCTTGGTTCTCACTTCCATATCCTTAACAAACTGGTTTGAATATTTGCTTCATATAGTTTTCTACCATATGGTACAAGATTAGGTTGAAAAACCTCTTACTTTTTGACTCATGAGATTTTTTATTAAGAAAGGTCATGGTAACAGAGGGAAAAGTAACGGAGGGAAAAGTAACAGAGGGAAAATTGTGCAAACAAGTAGAAGGTGCAGGATTTTGCATCATTTGTCGCTTTTTTCTTCCAAATACTTTAATATTACTTCAAAATGAAAGGAAACTATTTCTATAAAATATGTCAGTCCTTCCAAGCACATTTTTATCATTTTAAATAATTATTATTATTTTTTTTAAATTATGTACCTTCATCAACAGTTCAAAGATGGAATAACACAAGATATGATGAAATACATCCATTTATTGACATGATTTGCAGGTCTTTGAAATTTGGGAAATAATTTTTGTTCCATGTTTCATACATGGTCTGTTTAAAACATATGGAACTTTAGAACCAAAAATGGTACAGAAAAAAGGTCAACAGTTTCATAAACTAGAGTACATATGTATCTGTTCAATACATTTTTATATCAGATGCATTCACTTGAATTTTTGGCCTTGCTGTTTACTTCTGCTTGACCGGGCTCCAATATACTGTGATACAAAATTTGTTATCATGGGCTGCTGTATTGATATATCGTTAAGAGTATTTTTTGGAATCTTATAGCATTTTTTTGTGTTTTGTTTCCTTGTTTAGAGGAAGAAAATTAAAACAGATATATTTCCCAACCTTGTGATTCCTTAGCTCTAATATGATGTAGAAAATTACATGTATAACAAAGATGTATAGTTTCATTTGTGTAGGCTACATTATACCTGTGAATGACAAAATGACCTTTCACCTCTCCATCTACCCACAGGAGCTGGAGATCCAAGCACGCGCCCACGGCCTCACTCTCGTCCCCACTCCCTCTGTGTGCACCTCTGAGCTGGTGGCCCGGGCCATCAAACAGGAGCCGATGCTGGGAGACTGCCCCTCTGACCTGTACCACCACTCCTCCAGCCCGGACATGTCCCCACCCACCACGCTGGACCTCAACAACGGCACCATTTCCTTTGACCACGCCCCCTCAGACGCAGGAGAGAGCAGCGAGTACAGGAGCCCGCGCAGCTGTAAACGAAAGGAGCACGGCCTGGCACCGGCGTCACCCCGCACCCCCCTCATGTCCCCCATGTCCCCCAAGCACAACCAGCACGGCTCCACTGCAGAAGAACATGACCACAGCTGTTAGCCACCACAGACTCAGTGACAGAGTGACTGCAGCATACACGCACACCATTTGCTGGAGAATGAAGTCGATACTTTGCAGTGACTTCACGTTGGGGGTGTTCTACATGTGTTTCTATTGGTGAAATATTCAACAGTTACCATGGTGACACAATGCACACATTAGCAAAAAATTACAAGATTGATTTAACAGTACATTTTCATGAGCCTGTGATAAATATGAGCATTTATGGTCCTGTTGTGTTTGTTTTTCAGCCAAAACGGTGAGAGTGACAAACTAAAAATGTTAGTTGGCTGTTGCTTACTAGCGTAAGGCTGTGATGTTATTTGAGAGGGACTTGTTTAACAGTACACATCAGATCAGCTGTTCTAGTTCTAGCCAAATCAGTTCTTTATGGTCAGACTGTGTTAAAATAAAGCTCAAATTTAAGGCTAACAATCCTCTGACAGAGCAGTGCTACAGTGAGCATCACCCCCCCTTTGAATGTTGATGGCATCAGCTGTGAAGTATCAGTGAGCTCAAATATTATGATTTGAATATTGTGATATGATATGTGGATAGTTTTCTCAAAATATGACTTCATGTAATGGCTGGGTTTATCAAGTTGCCTACTTTAAACACAACATGAATTTGAGGATGTGTTTATGAAGAATAAGGTGACTTGGGTCAAATGAAACTCACATCATAACACACACAAAACTGTTTGGGATGGTGGGATGTTTTTGAGAACCACTATTGTTTAGAGCATATCTACTACACATTTATTTATTCTGGTATATATTCTACTCATTTTTGTACCATTTTGTTATTTATATCTTTGTATACTTGAATGCATTTGTGTCCACTTTTTCATTACAGACACATGTTTCATAGTAGAGTGGTGTTGAAGTTCTTAGTACTTCTATGCATTGTCTGGTGTATAATGTTAATCATATAAATATGCGTATAATATTTTGTGTTTTGAATCTTTTTGTAAAATGTTTAAAAAGTGAATCCACGTCTGTAATGTATGAAATATAAAATTCAATATAATAATCAGTCCTTGTGTCTGATAAACATTTATTGATGCAGAAGCATTATTTGTTGCATATACTGTATAAATACCACCATTATTTTTAGTACTGATTTATCACTGACATAGCTTTCAATACTGTAGATACTGGGATACTCAGCCATTCAATCTAAATAAACATTTACAATAAAATATTGTGAATCGGTATAAATGCCTGTTCTGATTTATTTTACTTCTTCATGCAAAACACTAACATATACAAATACGAATAAAAATAAAAGCAAAACAACATCAAAATAAACCAATAGCACCCATTGAGCTTCAGTAACAAGTTCAGCAACTAGAATATCAGCAGGAATGTTCACTGCACCATTTTTCATAAGCACTGGTCAAGACTTCATAAGATGTGTTGTTAAAGATCTCTGCAAAACAAAGAAAGGGACATATACATTAGCTGGATGAAGCAAAAAAGAAGCTATCCTAAAATCTAAAATATTTCATTAAAGACCCACTTGTACACTGTCCATACAGTGAATAGCAGCACTCGCTGCAGTGTGGAGCTGTAATATGCAAGTAGACCACTTGATGTCTCTCTGTGTCTATATACACCAACCACTCGTTTGCTAATTCAACCATTTATTTATCGCTGAGTAAGAAATATAATTAATTTATTCATTATTTTATTTATTTATTTGAAAAGGGACAGTGCACATTAATCAGCGTCAAAACAATGTAAATGTGCCCAAGTTAGGTGATAAGAGCTCATTTACATCGGTTGTCCCTTTGCCAGATGTCAAAAAGGCATCCTAAAAGAAAATACACTTAAAAGTTACACAAATGTACAATAAGATTACAAAAATACTATAAACGTTTTAGTGTTCACACGTTTGTGTTTCTAAAAGCCACTTTTTAGCATTCTTTTGAAAAGCAGAGAATGAGGGAGATGTTCTGACAGCTTCAGGCGCAGAGTTCCACTGATGAGACGCTCTGACGGAGAAAACACACTGACCAAATCCAGTTTTTCTATGAGGAATAATGCAGTCTTCCCTCACTGCTCCTCTGGTCACTCTGCCCTCACTAGATCTGAAATTAACAAACTCATTGAGCGAAGGGGGAGCCGAGCCATGTTTAATCTTGTACATTAGACAGATATTTTTTAATTGAATAAGACTGTCCCAGGTCATTCATTTGTATTTCTGCTAAATGTGACAATAGTGGTATCTGTAGAGTTTTTTGTCAAGTGTTTTTAGAGCTTATATATAGAGTGATTCAATGGGTTTTATTGTTGTGAGTGACCAGCTGACGATACAGTACGTGATATGTGAGAGGATAAGGGCAAAGAAGTAAGATTTTGCTGCCTCAATAGATAATGAGTCTCTGATGTAACAGAAATTAGATAAACTGAATTTTCTCTTATTGCTAACTGTTTCAATATGTGTTTTGAAATTGAGATTTAAGTCTATGTATACTCCAAGATATTTGAATTCTGTGACAACCTGTGCTTGTTGTCCTGCAATTAAAATATCTGGCTTTACATGGGAATTATTTTTTGAAAAGTACATACATACTGTCTTAGAGAAACCCTATGTTGCCCTCAAATGTATGTTAAACACTTACGCTCTGCTTTACTCTGCGCACTCTGCTTTGATATATATGTAACTTGTATTTTTGTATAAATACTCAAGCTCTGGAGGGGATGCTCGGGGGGAGATACTCGGGAGATGGAGAAAAGGGGTGACTGGAAAGAGCATGCTCAGGAAAGGCTGTTGGTCTCTAGGCTCTGTCCATATCTGCTGTAACAAGAAGAATAAACCTTTGTCTGTATTCCAAAAACTCATCAGGCTTCGCAAATGGATCGATTATTTATCATCAAGAAATCTATATAATTTTTTTCAACAACAGTGATGAAACATATGCACTCACTATCTTACAAAAATCCAGAACTGAATAATAATAATAATTTTTGTCAGATGCAAGTTTTCCATCAATCTGAAAACAGAATTATATACTTATAACCCGCCCCTCCTCCTCTCACCTGCTTGTCCTAGTCCAACAGGCAGGGGCATCCTCACCAGCCCACCCGAGTGCTTGAGGCGGTCCTGCAGTGAGCTCTGGATCAGCTCCATGGTACAGACCTGGTGCCACACAGGCAGCTCCAGACACACCATGCAGCTGATGATCCTGTTCTTCTCCTCCTCGGTCAGCAGCCCTCTCTCCCGGGAAACGTACACCATGTAAGCCATGTCAATGTTCACCGCCTCTCCGTGCAGTAAGGATGGGAGCACCTTCTGACACAGCCACAGAGTACAGTTAATGCAGAAGGAATAAGAGGATGTGTGGATAAAAAATAAGGTGCCTTTGGTAACATTTGACTCAAATCATAATATTGTGCCATAAGATGCTTAAATAAATGTGATGAATGTTGGTAAATGACAAGTTAAGTAACCCTAAGAAAACTCAGCTCATTTGAAGCCAAAAGCTAAGTAAGTTCATTTGGTCTAGATTGACTCATTGATACTATCTTTTCCTTGGATGTCTCAAAATTTGCACCAATTACAAGTTTTAGTGGTTTAATCTGATAAAATTTGCAGTTTAATTTTATTTATTTATTTTCTAAAGTGGAAAGATTCTGAAATGGCTGTACTTTTACTTATTTACTTTTACTTATTATTTTCACAGACTTCCTTAGTGATCAATGAATCACAAGCTCATCTCTATTCAAATGTAATTTCAATATAGATTTTTTTGTTTGTTGCTGACACTGTGCTCTTTAGTCATTCCAACATCATGCACACGTGCCTATCTAATCCATTCAAATGCATGTTCATTTGATTTCATCCATCAATAGCTTTGATCGATTACCATTTCAAGTGCTGGACTGATGAGGTGACCAAAGTCCACCAGTCTGTTGAGGTCGTCCTCCCACAGGTTGGGGGCCAGCTCCTCCAGCATGGTGACGATGGCCAGGCGCGTGGAGCGTGATGCACTCTGGCCGCTTGCACCGAAAACATTGCTGTCTGACTGAAATTTTGAATCCAGGAGATGTTGCCCATGTTTCTCCAGTAGTTCAAACAGCTCCTTGCGCTTCATCAAGGCCATCTACAAAGATATAGAATGCACTGTATAAAGGAGAAAAAGTTCATTAAACATTTTCAGGTTCAGTAAAGAGGATTATAATGTGTACCTGTAACAAACAGGCTGGTTTGTTACCCAGAACTGCACTAAGCACCTTCACCCTTCACTAGGACACTTTAAAACACAGTAGTATAACTCAGGTAGCACACAGCACTTTCAACATGTTTGCACATGACATGAAAATTGCACACAATTGGTTTTAAAATGTATTGTCCTTCCTTTTACCACTTTTTAATCCTGAGGCACAGTGGCACTTTGATTGGAAGCTGCTTGTCCCTGGAGGTGGAGACAAATAACCAATTACATTTTAAACTGACTTAGTGCAATATATGGTGCAATATGTGTTTTTGAAATGTTTTAAGTGTTGATGTGTTTAGTGTATTTTATTGTGTTTTATGAATGGTGTGGATCTGCTTTTACTTACCTCCCTTTTTATCTTTTCGAGCTCCCTTTTTGAAGATTCCGGGCTGGACCATGTGTTATTATTTTGTACAGAGGTTTTAGGTTGGGCGTTTTATTGGTTTATGGGTTTTAAAATTTAATTGGTGTATGGTTTTAGGGTTTTTATGTATATAGTTGGTGATTTTTATAGTTAACTGGTTTTGGGTTGTTTTATGGAGGTTTAGGTTATGATTTAAGATAATGATAATTTTTACCATCCCTGTTTTAGCATAGTGGTTTTATCCAATCATTAAAACCAGCATAAAAGGCGCCTCAAAAGATCAGTTCTGCTGCTGGAGAGGAAACAGCTGCCTGCCTCTATTTTGCACCCTGCACTTTTTTTTGCACTTGCACTTTTTGTAATCATTGGAAAATCAAAAAGTAAACCGTGGACTACAACTACCTGTCTGTGTCTGGCTTTTTTTTAAACCTTACTCACTGAATCCCAAGTCGCTCACGGTCAACCTACATCACAGTACCTTAACAATTTAAAAAAGTTAAATAGCATTTTTTGGAAAGCAAGATAGTGTTTTGTTTTTTTAAAATTCAATTTCACTAAAACATTGTGAACTATAAGATAGCCCTTCAAAAATATGCAAATAGCCTTTGGTTTTTAGTCTCATCACCACATGCCACTAGGGGTGTGCAAAAATATCGGAATATCGATATATCGCATCGTTTAATGTGATGATACAGTATCGATATCGTGGGCTGCTGTATCGATATATCACCAAGAGGATTTTTAGGTGTGTTTTACTAAATTATTTTGTTACAGTGCTACAGTTTTGTTGGTTGTGGAGTGAAAGGAAACTCATTTATGCAACACATTTGACATTTTTACTGTTTTGATGATTAAAATGTTTGTGTTTCATATGAACTTTGGACAAGAAGTGGTTTAACAAAGACTTTCAGCATCACAGCCACGATTTAGCTTTTATTTTTTACTGAACCATATCGAATCGATTTGAAATATATCGTATCGAATCGAAAGTGCACTGTATCGAGATATGTATCGTATCATGGCCTGTGTATCGAGGTATGTATCGTATCGGCAACTTCTTAATGATACCCAGCCCTACATGCTACTGTCTTACTGTAAAATTGGACCAAAGATGATTTATGTAAGGTTGCGTAACTCTGATTCAATACTTGGATATACAGTGGATGAGTGAATAAACATTGCATACATTACACTTTGATGAAACTGACCTTTAACATTTCGGCCAGCCCATTGGAGATATGCCTGCGCGGGATGGTCTTTATGAAGGACAGGTCTAGGTAGGTTGCGACTGGTGGGATGTAGGTGCCAAGCTTGTTCTTGCAGTTAGCAAAATTGACCCCAGTCTTGGCCCCCACACTGGCATCAATGTAAGAGAGGAGTGTGGTGGGCACTCTGATGTAAGGGGTACGTCTGCGGTACAGAGAGGCAGCCAGGCCCACAATATCTAAGCACACCCCTCCTCCTATCGCGATCACCGGCTCTGTTCTCCTGTCTATTGAGAAACTATTTAGTTCTTCGAGGATCTTCAGTGCCATCTCCATTGACTTGTTCTCCTCGGTGGTTGGCAGAGCTAAAATCTTACAAGTCACATTGTTAACCTCGAAATAGTTAGTGATCTGGGTGCCGTAGATGCGGTACACTTCCTGGTCGACCACCACGAAACGCTTGATTGGCTTGGCGGGTATTCTTAAGGTGTCGGCTGTCTGCGGCTCGTGGGTGTGGCCTGTTAGAAGGGTGCTGTTGCAGGGGTCCAGGAGGCCATGTGTCTCTGTAACCTTGTAGCTGAAGATAATGGGGGTCACCACAGTCCAACTGGTGCTCTTTTCTGAGAGGATTTCATAACTGTCAAAGAAACACAAACAGAGTGAGAGGGAAAGGCCCCAAATGAGAGGTGACTGAGGACCGAGAACTGCTTTGGAAGTCTGACTGTTAAAAATAAATCTCAGAGCCTTAGACCACTCACTGTGCCACAAATAGGATAACCCCATGTCCTGTCAATCATCATATCATTGTTGCTCTGTCTTCCCCTAACCTCTTGTATATAGCTGAGATTTTATATTTTAATACTTATTTTCTATTTTATTTTGGCTTGTACATATGCATGAGGGCCTGGTCAAGCAGAAGTAAACAACAAGGCCAAAAATTCAACTTAATGCATCTGATATAAAAATGTACTGAACAGATACATATGTACTCTAGTTTATGAAACTGTTGACCTTTTTTCTGTACCATTTTTGGTTCTAAAGTTCCATACGTTTTAAACAGACCATGTATGAAACATGGAACAAAAATTATTTCCCAAATTTCAAAGATCTGCAAATCATGTAAATAAATGGATGTATTTCATCATATCTTGTGTTATTCCATCTTTGAACTGTTGATGAAGCTACATGATTTATTTTTTTTTTTTTTATGTATTTAAAAATGATAAAAAATTAGCTCGGAAGGAAATATAGAAATTGTTTCCTTTCATTTTTAAGTAATATTAAAGTATTTGGAAGAAAAAAGTTGACAAATGATGTAAAATCCTGCACCTTCTACTTGTTTGAACAATTTTCCCTCCGTTACTTTTCCCTCCGTTACCATGACCTTTCTTAATAAAAAATCTCATGAGTCAAAAAGTAAGAGGTTTTTCAACCTAATCTTTTTCATTCCCTCCGTTACTGACATGAGTTTTTAAATTTTTGGTCAACAACTTGAAAGAATATCACAGGTTTAACTTGACCCTGTTGGAGTGTAACTCTTTCCTACATTCTGATACTTTACTTATTTCAATAGTTCCTCTAGTTTCTGAATAAGAGACATTTGAATGTCAAAAATCTGCCCCTGTTTCCCTTCGTTACCACTTGACCAGACCCATTTATATAATTATGCCTTATTTCACACGTCTCTTGCTATCTTCTTTGCTACTTATTTAGAATTTATCATTACCATTTATTATTTTTTTTAATCTTTATTATATTATATTGTTATGTGTGAGTTACTGTGTCAAAATTATTTCCCTTGTGGATCAATAAAGTTTGTCTAAGTCTAAATCCAAGGTTATCATCAGTCAGTCAGTTGTGAGACAGGCTCTGAAGAGCATCAGAGATCCGTCTCAAGTGATCAAAACACACAGTATGAACTCCTACGGTCTGGCTGGAGATACAGGGTTCCTTTATGTAAAAATAATAGGTTATAAAAGGTGTTCATATCCCGGTCCATATAATTTATTAATGTAGGGGAAGCTTATTGTCCAATTCTACATGTTTGTATGTTGTGTTAATGCCACTGACCTCTGCTGTGAGGCAAAATAATAAACAAACAAATAAATAAATAAAACATCTGAAAAACTTAAACTTGACACTCAGATTTCTGACTGGTTTACTATCATCACTATATCTTTATATGCAGTACTGTGGATCTAACTCTATCTTGCATTCAGTCAGTTGCAGGTGTTTTTTATTGACGAATACATTACTTACAAGCAAAGCAAGAATCCTGACAGTGAGCAAGCTTGCCTCTAACTTAAATGTCACTGGTGAAAACAACCTGCATAGCCTCATGATGTCTGCACTACTGTCCTATAGTGACCTGCCACATGAGGGGACACGCACACAAACACACACAAACACACACACACACAAACACACACAAACACAAACACACACAAACACACACCTTCATCATCGTCATCAACCTGAGAACGCGCGGACCACGTTTCTTTCCGTAGTTACCGACGTGCTCCCGTGCGCCGCGTGTGGATCGTGTTTTCTTGCGTACGCTGCGTAAACTGCGCTTCCTCCTGTGCGCCTCTAATCCAGAACTAACACCAAGACTAAAACTAGGACTAATCCAGTCCACGACTAAACCAGGACTAAACCAGGACTAAACCAGAACTAAACCAGGTCTAAACCAGGACTAAACCAGAACTAAAACCAGGTCTAAAACAGGACTAAAACCAGGACTAAAACCAGAACTAAAACCAGGATTAATCCATTCCAGGACTAAACTAGGACTAAAGTAGGACTAAAGCAGGTCTAAACCAGGACTAGAACAAGGACTAAAACCAGTGATCTCATATATAAAACATTTCTCTATCAATAATATTTTTAATATGGTTAAGGAAAGACTGGACTTTTTATTGTCTTTAAGTAGACAAAAGTTATTATGTTCAGATTTCCTCGTCTTTGCTACTTTACAGCAAACAGTTTCTTATTCATGGAGACTTTGGCTCAACAGCCAATTTGAAGAGATTTGTTAAACAATAAATTACTTTATAAAGTCACTTTTTTTTGTTTGTCTATATCAGTCTTTTGATCTGCCACAATAATGTAATAATGAATTTAAATGAAAATACCTCAAATTGAAGGCTTTTCTCAGCAATTTTTAGGTGAGATTAAAATGAGATTAATTAGATTAATTAATTACAGATCATAATTAATTAATCTCTCAATTTTTTTAATCGCATGACAGCACTACATATAATATTTGTGTAATGAATCAAAGGTAACCGTATACTTTCTGCATTCACAAGAAACACAGTACAAGATGCCTGGAATATAATATGTAACAATAGAGTGTAATTTAAGAAAGTCATTGTGAAAAAGGCGTGAACTGGTTTGTGATCTAGGACAGATATCATCATTGCATCTAGTGTAAATCTAATCATGTCAACATTATTTAAATGAAACATACATTTAAAAGTACACACACACAACATATATAAAAACTAAATATGAAACACTTTACCAGGGGTTTTAAGTTGATATTGCCAAGTTTCACACTCACCCGATCACATAAAAATAAAAATTAAATAAAAAGTCACACATAAAAATAAAGAGATCGAAGTGTCATTGATACTTACATCTTGGCTGGAGACACACAGGCAGCTGATCCCACTTGGCTGTGCTTTTCTTTACAAGTCCATGCACTTTTGACCCGTACTAGGCTATATTCGGTGGTCTTCTCTTTGGTGCTGTTGAGCAGGTGTACCTTTCCCATCTTGCAAATTATTATGGTGATAGAGGAGTGGACTGCTTAATGAGAATTCAGGTCTGTTTAAATACAGCCTAATATTGGGGAATGGCTTCAAGACTGGGGAGGAGTTTGAAACCCTCTATACTGAGCAAGCAGTTACTTGCATTACTTACACAATATATCAAAAACATGTTAAATCATCAGTCCTACTGGACTCACAGAAGAAAAATACTCTATATATCCAATAATGATAATAGTGGATTGGGTTTAAAAAACAACAAGAACAAAAACATTGATGTAATGCAGTCCCACTGCTCCTACAGACATAATTATTATCTAACCACTGAGGTTATTCTTATGCACAATGAATGGTTTTAGAGCTTCGTTTACCTTAATTTATTATTCATCACAGTGGTTCCCAAAGTAGAGGTCAGAAATGATCACAGGATGACTGTGAAAATATAAGTATAATCATGTATTTAATCAACTTTTAATCCATGAATGTATATTGGGTAAAATTTGGTCAAATAACTCAACATACTCAATTATATTAATGAAACTTTAAAATGTTTTGCAAATGGAAATTATTACAGACGTCAGTTTTATTTCTGCGGGAGTTCCCGGCCAGTTGCATGATTATTTTAGGGAGCCCCAGTCTGAAAAGTTTGGAAACCCATGCTCATTCATGTGTTTCTTGTACATAGCACATCTGCAATACTGCAGACTCCATGCCATTCCATATGATGATTTTAAAAGAAGCAACTATTTCAAGTGCTTGACACAGCACAGAAGGCGCAGATAAGACAGAATGCCAACAGATACCTTTTCTTTCACTATTAATTACTGTTTGGCTTCTTGGTTTTAAAGTGGACTACTGCATTATTTCTAAACTAATCTAGATGTCGCCTCATCCCCACTTCCAAACTGCAATAATATGTCTGCGGGAAAGTGTGAAAGGCTGAGAAGTAAGTATGAGGTGTAGCCCTTCTCCACAATGTTACTTAATAATATGTATGATTAAAAAAAACAACAACGAGGCTTTCCAGAAATTTTCATAAGTAACACGGTGCACGCCCCCTCCACAGTTATAAAAAACCTACGCGTCACGTGAGCTAAACCCACACGTGCGCATGTGGTTGGCCCATGGTGTTTTAGGGGAGGTAAGACTATCTCCTGCTTACCGAACGATAGTCAACGGTCTTTTTTTTTTTCCCTTGGAAAACGTGATATAAGAAAAGCTCCACACACCGGGACTGCCTACTGGAGAGAGCCCATCACAGCCCGTGTCCCGCCCACAGCGCGCACCATGCCAGACGGAAAAGGTACGGTACTCCGCACAAGTCCAGTCGGCTAGTAATAGTACTAGTAGTAGTAGTAGTATTAGAAGACGACTTTACTCAGGACCTGTCAGGGGATGTTATTGCTCCTTCGAGAGAGAGAGAGTTTAAACTTCAGTGTGTTGCATGTGAAAGTTAAACAGAGTTCATTAAACTCCTCGGCTCTGCACTGCTGACAGAGCGCAGAGGAGTTTACCTTTTGTGCGACTTTTCTGTCTAACGGGACTTAAGATATTCTCAACTCATTTGGCCTGACATTGTTCGTTGCTCATTTTGCTCATATATAAAAATAAATATATAAATATAAATCTCTATCTATCTATCTATCTATCTATCTATCTATCTATCTATCTATCTATCTATCTATCTATCTATCTAGTGTTGGGCAGTGTTGGGAAGGTGACTTTTAAAATGTAATCCCCTACAGATTACAGATTACACACCCCAAAATGTAGTTTGTAACGTAATCCATTAAATTACTTAAAGTGAGTAACGTAATCTGATTACTTTGGATTACTTGATATTGTCATGTTTTTTTAAACGACATGAATGTAGCAACCACATCCTGAAATTCTTGTTTGTTGTCTTCAAATTGTCTGAGCCCAAGTCTCCATGAATAAACAACTGTTTTCTGTTGAGAAACAAAGACCAGGATATCTTAATATAAGAGGTTTTGTCTGTTAAAAGACAGAAACAAGATAAACTTTTCCTTCACCATATTAAAAAATATTATTGATAGAGAAATTATTTTTTATATGAGATCACCTTAAATTATGTCAACCTACTGTTAGTGTCATGTTGTTTAGACCTGGTTTAGTCCTGGTTTTGTCCTGATTTTTAGACCTGGTTTAGACCAGGTCTAGACCAGGTCTAGACCAAGTCTAGACCAGGTCTTTAGTTCTGGTTTAGTTGTGGTTTAGTCCTAGTTTAAACCTGGTTCAGTCCTGCTTTAGTCCTGGTTTAGTCCTGGATTAGTCCTGGTTTAGTCCTGGTGTTAGTTCTGGTTTAGTCCTGGTGTTAGTTCTGGTTTAGTCCTGGTGTTAGTTCTGGTTTAGAGGCGCACAGGAGGAAGCGCGGTTTACGCGAGAAAACACAGTCCACACGCGGCGCACGAGACGGCGGTGTCCGCGCTGTAACTACGGAAGGAGACGTGGCCCGCGGGTTCTCAGGTTGATGACGATGATGAAGGTGTGTGTGTTGGTGTGTGTTTGTGTGTGTTTGTGTGCGTGTCCCCTCATGTGGCAGGTCATTGTAGGACAGTAGTGCAGATATCATGAGTCTATGCAGGTTGTTTTCACCGGTGCCAGTAGCTCCTGTTTCACATTTAAGTTGTAGGCGATTTTATATTAGTTTTATATATATATATATATATATATATATATATATATATATATATATATATATATATATATATATATATATATATATATATATATATATCACATCGGGAGAAGAATTTCCAAGACACAAATGCGTTTTTACCAATGCACTGCTGCTTCCACTGTGTGACTGACACCGCCAACTTTAACATGACGTTTACGTCGCTCTTATTGCCACGTTCTGTTTGGGCAATGAGTGGAATTACCGAAATAAAAAAATAAATAAATGGGATGTAGCACAAAATGTGAAAACAGGAAAATACCGCGTTGTAATCCACTTATTTCAGCAAAGTAACTGATTACGTAACGGCGGTACATGTAATCCGTTACTCCCCAACACCAGAGTACAAATGATGAGTAACTGTATTCAGTTACAGTTACTGTTTCAGTGAGTGGTAATTGGATTACAGTTATTTTGTTGAAATAAATGGATTACACAGAGGTATTTTCCTGTTTTCACATTTCAGGGTATTCCTCAGGGTATTTTTTTCTCTCTCGGTATTTCCACTCATTGCCGGACACTAAACCAGGTCTAAAATCTGGTCTAAAACCAGGTCTAAAACCAGGACTAAACCAGGTCTAAACTAGGTCTAAACTAGGTCTAAACCAGGTCTAAACCTGGTCTAAACTAGGTCTAAAACCAGCTCTAAAACAGGACTAAACCAAAACTAAACAGGATTTAACAGGACTAAATCATGCTGTGCAGACCGTCTTTCCTCCTCTTCTATCAATAATATTTTTAATTTGGTTAAGTAGGACTGGGCTTTTTTATTGTATTTTAGCAGACTTATGTTATGATATTCTAGTCTTTGCTTGTCTACAGCAAATCAAGTAATCCAAAGTATTCAGATTACATTACTCACTTTAAGTAATTTAATGGATTATGTTACAAACTACATTTTGGGGTATGTAATCTGTAAGGGAATACATTTTTAAAGTCACCTTCCCAACACATTCATTCTTTCTATCTATCTATCTATCTATCTATCTATCTATCTATCTATCTATCTATCTATCTATCTATCTGTCTATCTGTCTGTCTGTCTGTCTGTCTGTCTGTCTGTCTGTCTGTCTGTCTGTCTGTCTGTCTGGCTGGTCTGTCTGGTCTGTCTGTCTGTCTGTCTGTCTGTCTCACACACTCTCTCGATCTCTCACTCTTTCTCTCTCGATCTCCATTCTCTATTATTCAGTGTTTTATAACTTGTGCTTCTCAGAGTTCAGACTTCACTGTGATTGGTTAAATCCACGTGTCATTCACCCAGAGCATGAAGGAGGCTGACCAATAGGAGGAGAGGGGGAAAGTGTCAGCACTTGAGTTAATACTGATTAAAGCAGTCATATAAGATATCTTTTCAGATTTATATCACAAATATGTTTTACCCACTGTCTAATGACTCTTAAAAAAGAATGTGAGATTATTTGCCTTATCTAAATTTGAACACTGGGTGGAGAATAGGGGGTAGGGGAAACACTGAAGCCTTAATTGCAAGACAGTGCGAGATTACTCAAGATTGCATGAGTCAACTGAGACATTACATGATGCGGGAGCACCATTATAACATAATAGCTCATGAAGTTAATGTTACATGATATGATTCTTTTAACTTTGTTTTGGTGTATTTTTGCACGTATGGAACAACCAAGCAGTAAGTATTTTTTTTAAAATGACTGTGTTACTTATGGTTTACTGGTTTATGTTTTCATAACATATTAAAGTTTAGTTGGGCTACCTCAGTTGTCAATCTGAATTAAAGATGCTGAAAAAAGTAAAATCATACCCCCATCACATGTTCATGATTTTTTCCCTAATTATTTCCATTTCAACTATTTTTTATTAAAGTTATTTCATTCATCTTGAAATATTGTAATTAAAAACTTTTGGCATATCTATACTTCCATATGCACAATGCACAACCGAAACAGATTATACTTTCTTACAGATGATTGAGTGTAGCCCTTCCAAATAAAAAGACCCAAACATATTGATGATTTGAAACCATTGGATCTTGAGCTTGGATTGATATTTAATTCACAGCCCTACAGCAGAGTGCAGTCATTTTCACAGCCACACTTCATATCTTGCATATATTACATCTATGTGTGGTTAGTTTCTAGTGAAACCTAGAACAACACCTGGGAAAAGGCTGGAACACCTCCAGAAGCAGAAGGTGAGAAGTCCTTAGATGTTGACATAACGCTTGAAGCTAAACTCTTCACTTAGATATTCATGGCTCTGCATAATGAGGTGCATGAGGCTATAGCGCAGCATTCATCTTGCTTTAACTATGTGGTGAAAGAAGGACACATCCCAACATGGTTTCAAGTAAGAACTTGTTTGTTTCTTGAGGCTTGACTTACCTTATATGATCACTGCAATGAAACCAGTTTATCAAATGTAGTTTCAAGATTACAGTTACAACACATTGCAGTTAAAGCTGTTGACTTGGATATCAATGGGATTGACTGTTGGGCAAATCAATGCTGAAGTTTTGTTTGCATGTTTTGAAAAAGATCATTGTCACAGTACAATGGCCTACCACATTAATTACTGTATTGAGTTTTATTTTTTGTAGATTTTTTGCTATTTGTCTGAGTCATTATTAGCATTGACTAACTTATTCATAGCAACTGTAGGCTGTTGTACCAGGCATGTACCAGATTACTTACTTAAACTAATACAAGTGCTAGCACTAGTTTCAGTATTATTATTTATGATAATTTGTGCAATGTTTCACACTTGAAAATCAGGTCTACTATCATATGGGCCAGAAAAATGGACCAATATCATAATACATGATTTCTTAATAGAAGTGCATCATAGTCTCGATAATACAGTGATATAACAAAAGAATTGCTAAATACTTAAGTCATATTTTTGTCCAATCATTTCTTTAAAATTAAGGAATGGTAAAAATGTATTTTAGTAACTTTTTAAACATTTTGTTTCAATAATATTTTGTAGCAAACTTTTTAAACTGTGTTTTCTCCTTTTTTTTTTTGTGCTTTTGAAGTTCCAGATACCCCCATGGAGGTTCTGGTGGATCTTCTAACAAAAGCTAAAGACATAGCCACAGCTAATGGGAGTGTCCCCACAGAGCTCTTAGACCATCTTCAGCGAGCTCTGGACATTGCCAGTGGACTAGATGACTACCTGGAGAAGTTCACCACACCAGAAAGTGAACCCCTGGCTGAGCTATACAAGTATTAAGACCTAACTGGTAAACACAGGGATGAGAATAATGTTGGAATTGTTTTTAATCATTTTAATTACAGGAAAACTGTAACTCATGACTGGGACCGTGTTCATAAGGAGGGGAAGACTAAGTTCCGGCTTCCTAAAGAGTGCATCACTGGACACGTTGAAGGTAAAACACTCTCCAGTGAACAAAATGCATTATTACAATTACAGTGTTAATGACAAACTGTGCAGACTTAAATTGATATTCTGTGCTACTTCTATTGTTCTGATGTTGCTGTTTATGTCAGGTCAGACTCTGAAAACACTGGTGCACATGAGTCATGCCAGGCGAATCCTGGAGATTGGTATGTTCACGGGCTATGGAGCCCTCTCTATGGCAGAGGCGCTTCCAGATGATGGCTGTTTGGTGGCTTTGGAGTTGGAGGCTTACCTAAAGGAATTTTCACAACCTATTTTTGACAAGTCTCCACATGGAAAGAAGATAATTGTTAAAACTGGATCTGCCATAGCCACCCTTAAGGTAATCCTTTAATATAAATGCATTTTATTTGCCTTTTTTTTTTTAAGTCTGTTGAAAAGGTTAACTAAGAGCAGTCTCTACAATTGCTGCAGGCATACTGGGAATGTTTTCAGCCTATGTAATTAACTCAATGACTATGTTTCAAAACATCAACATCAGGGAATTGTATATGTGTGAGAAATGAATGAGAGGAATCAATTCAAACAGTAGTTGACAAACAGCAAACAGCATTTGTATTCTCATTTTAGGAATTGGCAGAAGTGGGAGAACAGTTTGACATGGTCTTCATTGATGCAGATAAACCTAATTACATCAACTACTACAAGTTTATCCTGGACTATAATCTGCTGAGATTACGAGGTGTTATATGTGTGGACAACTCTCTCTTTAAAGCCAAAGTGTATCTAAAAGACATCACCGATCAGAATGCCTTGGCACTGCAGGAATTCAATGATTTTGTCGCTCAAGATCCACGTGTGGAACAAGTATGTGCACTTACTCTTTACTATCCACCATTACTATTTGGTTTATTTTTGCATGTCTTTCAATTTTTAGGTGATTCTACCACTGCGAGATGGGATCACTGTTGTCCGCCGTGTTTCAGCTGCTGCTGAAAGCTCTAGGACTAAGGTATGAATCAAACTGAATTTGTCTCTCTATGTTAGTTAAGTGGAAATATGTGAACCATCCTAGCTATTGGTTACAGACTGTCTGAGACATTTAGTGATATTTTAGTGTTCAGTGTCAGTAGCTCAGTAAGGCGACAGTTTGCTTGGTTCACGCCAAATTGATAAACGTGTCACTCTGAACTGAGTTCTACACATTATCAACCTGGACTGGCTCTCAAAAGCGACTGAAAAACGTGAAACACTAAAATGAATATTTGAATATGATTGGTCGAAGTTACACCACAGTAGCTCAGTTGGTAGAGTGTTTGTATACTGATCTGGAGGTTGATGGTGCAATTCCAGTTGATATCATTATACAGACACTCTACCAGCTGAGCTACTGTGGTCTAACCCTGCACAGCAAAATGGACTGCTCGACCAAAACAACCATGTGATGCTGACAAACATTCATGTGCATTTATTATAATTTACACTGTGTGCACAATTATTAGGCAAGTGGGTATTTGGACCATGTCATGATTTTATGCATATTTTCCAACTCCAAGCTGTAGAAACTTGAATTCTCAGTCATGTGTATTTGTCTAACAAGGGTAGGTGTTGCGGCCAAATCCTACTAGACCGCTGAGAGTTGCAGGTAAGGAGAAAGTAAGTGACGCGCTCTCTTGTCTCTGGCGTCTGAGTAATCAAATCCAGTCTTAAGATAAAAATCTTTATTGCTTCTTAATTGGCCAAAATTCATTATTATGAAAAGAATCTAAAATCGTACAAAGACGCCAAGCATGGCGGTCAACAAACTGTGTGCTTCACCAGATTGCAACACCTGTGGAGCACAGGAGGGGTCCTCCCTAATGTAGCCTACCACACGGCGCCCTCTACAGGTGACGCACACACAAGACACATGGCTCCAACACTCCGGCCCCTATAATTGGTCTTAACCCACAAGAAACAATTATACCACATACAAACAAGGAGACATGCTTCACAAATTATTTCATTTCCAACAACATAATCAATATAAAACTCTAAGGGGCAGTTACTTGGTTTTAATATTTACTGATGAACCATTTACTGCCCACCCCAGAGCAGTCTTAATGGCATAGGGTCCATCCTGTTGACTTAGAATCACCTCCAAGGGTTCTAACAGTTTAGGAGCATTACTGCCAATAATCAAGTCTACATTGGCTTTGATAGATGGAACTTTAACTTTAGAAAGATATTGCCACCGAGTGAGATCCTTCTCAGTTGCAACACTGTCAGCGTTTACAGGCATCTTATTCTGTGTAAACACGTCCGGAAGTTCATAGAAAATGTCTGTTTCCAATGCAGACACCTTCAGGCCAGTCAGGGAGTGCGCCGACACCACTCTTTCTTGTCCCATAGTCTGCAAAACAAAATGTGTTCTTTTTCCAGGAAGATTAAGTCTTTTCATTAGGTCCTCAGAACAGAATGTAGTGGAGCTGCCAGGGTCCAAAAAGGCATAAACATCAATGGCCTTGTCACACTTACTGGATTTTACTCGAACAGGTACAATAGGGAGAAAACAATTATTTGTACCGGCCCCAGTAAGACCACATGTTTGAGAAGTGGCTGGCTCACCATTCCTATTAATATGAAGCACCACATGATGCAGCCTTCCACAGATGTCACAAGTGGGGATGTTCTCACAGTCTCTACGCAAGTGTCCAGCACACAGACACCCAAAACACAATCTCCTCTCCCTCAGAAAGTCCATTTTTTCTTTATGTCCCTTTATTTTAAACTGCGGGCAGTCCACAAGCAGGTGACCTTCTGAGCATGAATCGCAGGTAACAGAATTCACAGCTTTCACACCTCTGTCCTGTGCTGCTAAAGGTGCAACTCTGGTCGCAAAACTAGACCCTCTGGCAGTATTGGGCTGGGACCTTGACCTAGATCCCCCTGAACCAGCAGATGACTCAGGAATACTGCCAAATAAAGGATCAGACAAAATCTTAACTTGTCTCTCCACAAATGCCACTAGATCTTTAAAAGTGGCACGTTGACTTGTGGTATCCATTATGTCATATGCTGTATTCCTCCATCGTTCTCTCAGTCTGTAGGGCAGTTTAGCCAGTATTGCTCTCATATTTGTTGGAGCATCCAAATCTTTTAAAGAGTGCAAATCCATCATAACATTGCAACATGCACGCAGGAAAAGTGTATAGGACTGCAATGCGTCCAAATCCTCTGATTTAATTGCCGGCCATGAGAAAACTTTTTCCATATATGCACAAGCAATTCTGTACTCATCCCCAAACTGCTCCCGTAGTAATTGTTTAGCACGTACAAAGCCACTCTCTGGTTCCATATGTAAACAACTACGCACCAGTTCTTTGGGGAGCCCTGAGGTGAACTGCTCCAAATAATATAGACAATCTCCTTTGCTGGCCCTGTCCTCCACACCCTGTTTGAAAGCTCTGCAAAAGGGAATATAGAGCAAAGGGTCACCATTAAATACTGGAATGTCTCTTATCGGTAAGGACAATAACAGTTGTTGCTTAACGAGCGCAGCGGTTATTTCATTCTGTCTTTCAAGTATACTGCAAATGTCCTTTTGAGGAATCCCCTGATCAATTTGAACTGTAGGAGGAACAATATTGGTGTTGGTATGAGAGTTGGCCACTGGCTCAACTGTTTGAGGTCTAGATATAGGAGGTGGAGACCAACTGATTATTTCCTCAGGCTCATCCTGCATTACTGGTTTAAATTCTTTGGAATTTGGATGAAGCTGCGAGATTATGACTTTCTTCCTTTGTTCCCCGTCACCAGACATTTTAGAATTAGCAGATACTCTGGAACCACCTTTATATGATTCTAACACTGCTATTTTTGCAGCAGAAGCAGCTAATTTAGCCTCCAACTCTAACTGCTCTTTTCTTCTTTTTAATTGTTGTTCTTGCTCTTCAATAGCATGTTTTTCTTTTAGTATCCTCGCTTCTTCAAGCAGAGCAGCTCTCTCAGCCTCAACCTGGATTAATGCTGAGGATGCTGTACTGCAATGACTTTTACACATGGTTCTTTTGGACATTTCACTGCACATAGATGCACTGTCATGGGGATGAATTTCATTATCATAATTTCTATCATCAGTATTGACATTAGCATCAAATGTCAAAAACTCTGAACCAGCCAAACATGCTTTGACATCAGAAATAAACACCTCATTGGCAATCATTTTGGCTTTAAACCAAACATTATGTTTCTCCTTTTCAACATCTGGTAACATGTCCATCACAGTATCATGAACCGCTTTAACATCTTCACATAAAACCAAGAGCTCATCAAAAACATTCTGGATCTCTGATGTCTGACTTTCCTTTTGAATAAGATCCTGTATAGTCTTTCTTAAATTGGCTGCCTTATTTAACTTAGTCTTCCTGTTACTTTGTAGCTTCTCGAGTTTGTCAGCAAATGCTTTGGCAGTCAGTTTTATAGTTCTCCTTTCCTTGGGTTTAACTGTTTGCACATCGGCGCAGACTCTTTCAGTATCTGTAGCCACCGCGGCAACTTGAGCCGTCTGCGCAATGGCCTTATCCTCTCCGTTACGCACGTCCATAGTTCGTTACTCCGGTGGAGACTCAAACAATCGTAGCGCGGAGCCTACCTCCCCGACACCGATATGGACCCTTCGCCAACTGCCCAGCCTCCAGTCGCGACGAACGTCGAGGTTCAGTCTTGTTGGTACAGCGCTTATCCCCTCGAAACGATCAAACCGAACGCCTCCAAAACGGCGCCCGATACACAGTGCAGGTGTCCTCCAGGCCCAACTGACCAGTGTACAGCAGCGGTGACACCAAAGTCTGAAGCGAGTTTGTTGACTAATGTTGCGGCCAAATCCTACTAGACCACTGAGAGTTGCAGGTAAGGAGAAAGTAAGTGACGCGCTCTCTTGTCTCTGGCGTCTGAGTAATCAAATCCAGTCTTAAGATAAAAATAGCCTTTATTGCTTCTTAATTGGCCAAAATCCATTATTATAAAAAGAATCTAAAATCATACAAAGACGCCAAGCATGGCGGTCAACAAACTGTGTGCTTCACCAGATTGCAACACCTGTGGAGCACAGGAGGGGTCCTCCCTAATGTAGCCTACCACACAGCGCCCTCTACAGGTGATGCACACACAAGACACATGGCTCCAACAGTAGGTGTGGCCTAAGAAGATCAACATCCAACACCCAATGTGTGCAGAAATGTTAGGAAGCTTCTTTTCCTCAGGCAAAATGGGCTAAAGACATTTAACTGACTCTGAAAACAATTATACGTGATCATCATCCATCAAAAGATTTTTTTGCAAATGGTCAACAGTGTCACAAGAAACGGGTTGATAAAAAAGACACAAATTAACTCCAAGAGATTTGAGAAGAATCAAACGTGAAGCTGCCAGGAACCCATTATCCTCCTGTGCTGTCACTCCATAACTGCAGCCTGCCTGGAGAAGTTTAAGGTGTTCAGTGCTCAGAGACATGGCCAAGGTAAGGAAGGCTGAAATCTGACCACTGCTGAACAAGAAATGTCAAGACTGGGCCAAGAAATATCTGAAGCCAGATTTTTCAATGGTTTTATGGACTGATGAGATGAGAGTGACTCTTGACAGACCAGATGGAAGGGCCCATGGCTGGATCAGTAATGGGCACAAAGCTCCACTTAGACTTAGACACCAGCAAGCTGGAGGTGGGGTACTGGTATGGCCTGGCATTAATGGAAGATGAGCTTGTCAATCTTTTTCGGGTTGAAAATGGGCTCAAAATGAACTCCAAAACCTACTGCCAGTTTTAAAAGGCACTTTCTTCAAACAGTAGTGTAGGAAAAAGTAGGACAATGCTCCATCGCATGCATCGAAGTATTCCACTGTGTGGCTAGCCAGTAAAGGCCTTAAAGATGAAAAAATAATGACATGGCACCCTTCCTCACCTGACCTAAACCCTGTAACGAACTCGTGTGCCCTTCTTAAATGGGAGATTTACAGTGAAGTAAAACAGTCCAGCTCTCTCCAGTCTCTGATGGACTGGATGAATGGAAAGCTTATGACCATTATTGGAGAAGGGTGGCTATATTGGTCACAGATTTTTTTATTTTTTTATTTTTTTTTATGTCAAAAATGTTTATTTGTAAATTTTGAGTTGTTTAATATTCTAACAGATAAAAATACACAAGTGAGATTGGAAGTTAATTAAAGTTAATTTTTCATTTATTTGCATAATACTTCTTCACATTAATAGTTGGCCAATAACTGTGCACACAGATTTTCTCCTAAGAAAGACCAAAAGTTCACTTTTACTTTCTTAAATATTCAGGTTTAAGTTTTGTTAACATTTTGGATTGACCGAGACCACTGTAGTTGTTCAGTTATCAAATTAATCCTCATAAATGCAATTTGCCTTATAATTATGCACACAGTGTGCATGGAAGGTATCTCAATTTTTGTGCCCATTTATTGTAGTACATGTGAAGTTTTTTAATTGCTTTTAAAGGTTTATATTTTCAGAGAGTTCAAATACAGTAGAAAAATAAATAAATACAAATAAATAAATAAAATAAAATAAATAAACATTGGAATTAAATACTTTTAAGAAACGGGCCAGGTCACATAATGTGGTATAATTAGCATTGATAGCACCATAATAATGGTTGGAAAAACTCTCAAAATGGACAAAAATGTCTGTAGGAAGGGTTAATAATTTCCTGGATTTTGTTCCTAGAGTCTGGGCCAGCCAGTTGAAAAGAAGTGCGAGTCTGTTCTGTACCACACACTTTCAATCAACACACCCAGAGATCATGTGCTTTCCCAAGAGCTTTAAGTTCTACAAGAGAATAACTTGACATTTCAAAACATTCCTGCTGTTCTTTTAACAAGATATGGTAATGGTGATACAAATTAGCAGCTGTGGTAGGACCGTCCCAAGTTCAGACGGTGGTTTGAGGCCTTTGTGGTTCCAGATCCTTCTGCATTCGAGAGAATGTAGAATGTAGAAGTAGAAAAGCAGAAAAGTTGCTGTTTTAAGGTGCTTATGGGAGCCTGACTTTTTTTTAAAAATTTTTTTATTTTTTTTTTGAGAAAATAAATCTTTGTTCTTCTGTCAGGCTAACATCACAGATGACCAGGTGTTCCGTGGAGTGATGGGATGTTCTATTTTGGATCGAATGCGTCTGGATGGGAGGGTGGCCTATGTGACTGGAGGGGGACAAGGCATAGGCCGAGCTTTTGCCCACGCGCTGGGGGAGGCTGGGGCTAAAGTGGCTATAATCGATATTGACCCAATCAAAGCTGACACTGTGGTCAAAGAATTGAATCTTAAAGGTAGAGTTGATTTTATAACATTCACCATCTGTGTCCCAGGTCTGGGGTAAACATGTTTAGGCCAAATACAGATTTTACTGATATCATTTATCATGCCAATATAAGTTTTAATGGTTGGTAGAACAGAACTACTTCATGGTCGAATTCCCTTGCTCTACTAATACTCTACCTTTTTTGAATTACATGAGTACATTACTTTGAGTGATTACATTGCACACAATAATACAAAATTCAAATTGTTGCATTGTACACTTGCTTCATTGAAAACCGGGGAGGGGGTGTGTTGCTTATCTTGACCAGGAGATGGCAGTATTGTACAGGTAAAAAAAAAAAAGTCTTCTCGTGACCAATTCTTATCATCTTACTGTATCAGGACTGTACCTCAGCCATTTTACTTTTTGAGTAAACCTAACTAATAAATCCTGACAACCTTGTATTGTCTTACAGGGATCCACAGTATGGCTATCACAGCAGATATCAGTAAACCTGAAGATGTCCAGAGGATGATAGACAGTATCGTATCCAAATGGGGGACAGTGCACATTGCCTGTAACAACGCAGGCATCAATATGAACTCAGCCAGCGAGGACACCACTTTAGAGGAGTGGGACAGCACTTTCAGCGTCAACCTCAGAGGAACCTTTATGTGCTGTCAGGTGGGTACTCCTGTGTCTACAACAGAAATTGGAAAATTGAAATAATTACAATCAGAGATTTTAGTTTTAATGTAACTGTTTTTACAGTATTGAAAATATAATCACAGAGAGGTGCAATAAATAAAACTAATATAACCTCTGTACTACACATCACCATTATTATCTCAGTTACTCTATTTGTCAAATGCATATTTAATTTTTTCTTTTTTTTTGTATTAAAAAAAATGTTGCACACACACCCACGCGCATATATTTTATATATTAGTTTACAGGTGTATCCATATTCAGGTGTTAGAATTATTTATTTTAAAAAACTAAACAAATTACATCATACAATCATTAATTAAAGCAGGTGTTGACAAAACCTTTCAGGCCAGGACCCCCAAAATAGCCACCACCAAAAAATATATATGTCATTTTCTAATATTTTAAAAGGGGTTTAATTCCATGAATTTGTGGAGTTTTTTTGTGGCATTATGAATATTAAGACCTTATTTAAACTATAACATGTAAATGCCTTTTAATACAATTTTGAATGTCAATTAATTTGTGGATGCACTAATGAATGCACTCATTCATAACCATAGGCTGGTGTGTAACATGTCTCTTCTCCCTGAATCCTCCCCTCAGGCAGCCGGTCGGGTGATGCTGAAGCAGAAATATGGCAAAATCATCAACACTGCCTCCATGGCCAGTCTGATCGGTGAGTCATGGTTTGAGAATGCTCGCCACTCAGCCACAGCCCGAACAGTCAGAAAAGGTTTACTGGGAGCATCAAATACAAACTGGGTGTAGCACCGCAAATGGTGAGTATTTTGACAACATATTGCTGCAGGGTCCAAATAACATAACTATAACAGGACAACATTACAAAAAAATCTATCCGGGAATCCTTCTAGAGCAAGCTTTGTGTTAAGCAGAGACACAAGATCCCCTTTGAAAAGGATTAGGCAGCTTTTCTCTTCCATAACTTTTAGCCCCTCTGAAGCACCAGACAACATGGCAGGAAATACAAAGTGTTGTGATTGCATGTGAGCGTGGCCCTTTTGCATCATAATAAACATCCCCAGTCTATGGAGCTGTTTGGAGGATGTGAGCATGAGAGGAGACTGTTCCTGTGCACAGAGCCCAAGGCCTTGTTTTAACGGCGGAAGACTTTGGAGCTTGTCCTCCCCAACCCCTCCCTCCCCACCTCAAAAGGGGTTCCTCCTCCAGAGAACTACATCACTTCATCAGCAGTATAGTAGTCAAACGGCCAGTAATGTGCCATATGGGCCCCTGTCCAGACTGCGGGGGCAATCTGTAAACCAGGAGCATGCTGGTAAATAGAGACTGCATAAAAGAAAATGATCAATTATACACATTACACAGAGTCCTTCAGGAATATACTTTATTGGTCGGGACATCTGTTATAATATTGTCATAATGTGTAATCAGATGGGAGCTGTTCTGGCCAAGTGGAAGCCCCAAAACGCAGCTGTAAAAGTCCAATTAAAATGCACAATGACAGCTTTTTGTCCATCTGCCGGAGAGAATATATGTCCATAGAAGCAGCAAGCATTATCGGTGCAGTGTTTGGCGGACACGTACTTGTTGGAAAAGTTGGGATGATGTCGCAGGATTATAGAATTGTGAATAGATTTGAAGAAAGTAGATTTAATTGTATAGGTTGTTTTTGCCTCAGAATTCAAAGAATGTTGAATTCAGGATACATCACAGAATATGTCAGAATACATCTGCTTTGTTATAAATTATGCCAACCCCAGTCATTTCGATGATCAGTATTTTGTTTATACATTTCCTGGGTAGACAAATTTTACATGAAGACCAAACCTTGACTCTAGTAGACAAAAACACACCTATACTTCATCTCCACTTGTATTTACCTTCATATTTAAACCAACTGGCCTCGACCTTCAGTTATGTTGGTGGCCTTTTCTCCAAGATGTTTTGAGTTCCTGTCACTCTTCAAGGAATGGAGCAATATACCAGCAGTCTGAAAATATAAACAATAATAAACAATTTAATGGAAAGTTGCTCTATGTTGGGATTATGAATGCTTCACATTTTTTGAAAAGATGTGTGAATTATATGGTAGTTATGCCCCATGTATGCTATAAGAGTAATAATAATAATAATAATAATACATAAATAAATACAAACACAAACATTTCTTGTACAATTAAATGTCCTCACCCTTTAGGCTGACTAAACTTTTCCAAACAAAAATCGGGTTGCTAAGCTTGCAGGTTTTTGTTTGTAGTGCCATCTCTGCTGGATACGTGGCTCCTTAACTTAACACCTCCCATCCCAGTGGCATATAAGCATCTTCTTACAGGCCTTCTGGGGAAAGGGTACATCATTTGATCCCTTATCTGAACTGAACTCTATGTAAAAGGCGTGCCTGATAAAGTGTATGTTTCCTCCTACTTGAAACGACCAATACGTTGCAGGGTGAACCTTAAAGAGGGCTTTGGAGAATGCTTCTTTTCCTGCTTCTCTGGGGATTACAGCTCTTTAAAACGGCAAAAAAACATCAATGCAGGTTTATTTAAAGGATGAAGGAGTTTTCTGAATGGTATTTTGGGGCCGTATCATCAGGTCTTGAGCGGGGATTAGCGCTGTTAGCCGTTTGGAGCTGCTGTGTTTCCTGTCCTGATAAGTGGGATTTCACCTTCAATCTGCATGTAAGCCCCGGGCTGCGCTCCTCCTCACTTGCTCCTCTAAGGTCCTAGCCTCTTCTTATCCAGCCCAGTCTCGCCTTCACTATCTACTTGCACAGACAGACGATCGGCACATTTAAACATCTTACTAGACTCGTGGTTCTCAAACTGTGGGTGGGGTGCAGCTGGTTCATGGATATCTCCTAATGACAGTTGAGTCTTTTACTGTTCAAGTCCCAATAACCTTTCAGTTGACTGATTGCTCCATCAAAGTGTAGAGCTCTTAGTTAAGTCTTGGTTTAGACTGATTGTTGTGGGTTACTTCTGGGTTACTTCTGGATTTTTTCCGCATTTAGACCAGAATAATTTCTTCTAATACAGCAAGGGTTAGCTTCTTTTCAGTTTGTACATGCTTTGAATTTCTTTTTAGGTGTGGCAGGCATAAAACGTTTTATTTGTTACATGCATCAGAATCACCCATAAAGCCATGGCATAGTAAAGTATACACAATATTCCAGTTAGTACAACACGATCTAAATTGCAACAAGCTCATTACAGGTTTTTCAAACTGACAGAATTTACAGTTTTGTTTTTTAATGGAACTGTTAAAAAGGCAGGTTTTATTTAATATTCTCCTAAATTAGCCATGAATCCATAATTTCACTGTTACCTGCCAATTTGGCTTCTATAGAAACTTTGCTGCAGAAAAGTCTACACATTGATTTAGCAGTATAGCAATTTTAAAACATTGTTAAAACTCAAGCTTAAATGAATGAGCTAGATTTATCTTCCAGGCCTGGTCTCTCCCCTGGACCGTCCTGTGCCTTTCTGTAGCTGGGCTGTATTCATCATCCGTGGTCTCACACTGAAGCCATTTGGCAGTCAGATCGGCAGGTGATGAGGTTAACTACTAAAGTTGTATGTAACTTGGAGCCCTCCTTATGATAATTAATCAACCAGCGGAAAACCAGCCCCTGTCCCGACATCCCATGCAGTGTGCAGCATCTGTGATGGTCAAGGCAAACAAATGGGTCCCGCCTTTGTTGCTAAGGACAGAGCATAACTGGACATTATGAGCTATTAATTTTACATGGCTTCAGTCCCCCCGCAGCTAATGGAAGAGCTTTTATGGAGTGTCTGCAAGAACACAGCTGAAAACTGCTTATGTGTATGCATTCAAAGTGCAACAATGGATAGATGTCCATGGTAGGAAAAATCAGATAACTAAAATATTCAGATAACCCAGTAAGATTTGTAACGTGTGTTTACATGGCCCAGAGAACATCAAAAACATCTGGTGACACGTGTTGGGAAAGTACGGGGAAAATGCTGTTGTTTTTGGAAGACAAAGAAAACAAGGAACATTAAAATACCTACAGCAATCTTCAACATTTTCTCATTCATCTTTGTCGTTGCCACATTCGTTTGTGGATAATTTCCCTTGTCAAAACCTGCACAGATGTGAACACTCAGAAAGAAATCAGATTACTCACATCAGATGTAACTGTTTACATAACATTTAAATAAATAATCAGATAACTCCAGAAATCAGATAATGATCAGAATTTTGGTGTGCATGTAAACATAGCTGATGCTCAATAATCAGTTGTTTTGTGAGTTGTAAACACATTTTCCCTGTTTTCCTTTTTTCCAGTGCCTCATCCACAGAAGCAGCTGTCTTATAACACGTCAAAGGCTGGAGTGGTCAAACTTACTCAAACTCTGGGTACTGAGTGGATTGACCGTGGAGTCTGTGTTAACTGTATATCACCGTAAGTCTTGTATAATCTATCCTCAAAGGGCCACAATGTTCCAACTTCCAACTTGTATGGTCAAAATGGTCAAGAAATCACAAGATAATTGAACCTGACTAATCTGAATTTAAAAAAATCTATCTATGTAGTACTATATTGTCCACGGCTATCTGCATGATGCTTGTTTGGGACTGTTTTTCATATCAATTAACAATTTAAATATTATCTTTTGAATAGTAAAAACTCCTCACATGTAGGTTCCTTGATAATAAAATCACTTGTTTTTCTATTTTGTTTTGTTTTTTCACATTGAGCCTGTTAGCCCTGTGTCTGGAGATTCTATCAGTCCTTTTTAGATTAAACTTGATTTTATGATACCAACGTGTTTAAAAATCCTCACGCTACATTTGAGCTACAAAAAGAAACAGTGATTTGCATGCTTTCAAATGGAGAGCCCCATTTGAGAACAACATGCTAATTTAAGTCTTCAAACAATGCATCTGTTCTTAATTGGATGACGTCTTGAGGGATGAATCATGCAAACACCCGCGCTTATTGTTCTATTCAATTAGGGAATCAAATTAGCAACCTCACGCCAAGTGCCACAAAAGGGCCTTGTTTGTATCTATTTGTCGGTGCAGCTGAAAAGAGAAAAGCGAAGACAGCCGTGCGTTTGTTAAACAGAGCATCCCTTAGCCCCAAATCTGTCCTTACAACACTCGCCTTTATTTATCTGCTGCTTATTTGCTCATTTTAATTTGCTAATTCTCTTTCCTATCGTTAACTCGGCGTCTCAACGGGCTAGCGGTTTTCCTTTTTGAAGTGACAGTGGGTAAATATGCATAAAAAAGGGACACAATTAGCGTTCGCGAGGTTGACTGGAGCCCTGTTCCATTGGCAACTTTAGCTGCGGCGGTGATAAGCAGCATTATCTGGAAAATTGGTTGAGGGAAAACACTAGCTCTGATTGCCAGGAAAGCTTCCAGATAACGGGCAGCTGAAGAGAAATATAATTGAGGTGGAATACGTTAACCAAGGTGTCACATGTTCCTTTGGATGTGCTAATGTACCCAAATGTTGGAATTCTATATCAAAGGCGGGGGATAGATGGAACAATGGGGTAGAGCGTGTAGCTTGTAGTCTCTTCCATGTCACTTGGGTAAAGAGACGTATTAGGCAAAGTGCAGTGTGTTGACGAATATATTTAAGTGGGCACCTTCTGATGTTGCCTCCTAGAGCTTATTATACAATATACTGAAATGTTGTATTATCATTATCATGGCCAAATGAATTGCAACTTACAATAATGATTAAAGTTGCTGACAGTTTTTAAATGTTATGGATATTAATTACTGTAATGTTCATGTTACTTTAATATAATTACACTTTGTTATAAGTGAAAACAACAATGATCTAGATGAAAACAACATGGAAAAGTAGCTTTTATTCTGCACATTTTGATGACAGAATGGCGATTATCTTTGTTGGTGATAAATGTTAATGTTTTTTTGTCCCATTCCTATAGCCTACCCCTTGCCTCACAGCCCAGTAGAAGGTCCCAGACACCATGTAACTTTAAGCTAAATTGTGTGTCTGGTTTGTGGTAGAACAACACATACGATGATAGAACGATAATAATGAAGCTAATTGTAACCACACATAGTAATAATTGTGACAGGCAAGAAGAAGTATATACTAAAATGTAATGTAAACGTTGCTAGAAATTTTGTAAAAAAAATTAAAATGTATCATTCATGTATCAGTTCTTCTGGTTAAGGGTTAGCCTGGTTAACACAGGCCAGGATTGAGATTGTAATACAGTGTTGTAATACAGTTTTAGTCTGGACTCTGCTTTCTCCACTACTTTTCAGACCAAAGTGTATTTCAGTGATTCACAGGAAACAAACACACCATGGTCATTTTGTACAAATGGCTGTTTTGTGATTAATGTACGTTAAAATAAAATCAAATTCATTCCAGGACTGAGGAAGAATATAATCTTGTCAAGGGCTGTAAAGGCTTTGGCACAGGCATAAACATTTTTAAAAACTACTTAATGATATGATGTTTATAAGAAAACATGCCTTGTGTATTGAACCATTCTCAAGCTATTAGTGCATATTTTTGGTACTTTTAATCATTTCAAATCAACTAATTATTATTATTTTCACCCCCACACTCTTAGACATGTCAACCCCACAATAAATACTCCAGATGCCACCATGTCCTTTTTATCTGAGAAGAATGGGGTTTATTTTTGTCACCAAAGCTGCCACTCCGCCTCTGTTTTGTGATGCCCTGTGATTCCATTGTGTGTGTGTGTTGTGTGTGTGTGTGTTTTTTCCCTCCTCTTTTAGTAACCGTCTGTCACTTTCTTTCAGGGGCATCGTGGACACCCCTCTCATCCACTCGGAGAGCCTGGAGCCCCTGGTGCAGCGCTGGCTGTCAGATATCCCTGCTGGTAGACTGGCTCAAGTGACAGACCTGCAAGCAGCGGTGGTCTTCTTGGCATGTGACGCCTCCAACTACATGACAGGGCATAACTTAGTCATAGAGGGTGGGCAAAGTCTGTGGTAGAGTCCTCACTAGAAGATATCAAAACTTTAGGCTTAGAATTTGAAGCCTCGAAAAGGAAAAGCCTGGGAAAAGAAAATCCCAAACCCAATAGATGCTTCTTTTAAAAGTTAGTTACACTACAAGCTTTGATAAGAATTCATTTGCTGCAAAACACATCTTTTTTTTATAAATTCCATTGTTACTTACAGTGAGAAGTAACTGAATACATGTACTGGGAATACACATTCAGAATACTAATTGTGAGTAACAATATTCCAAGACTGTTACTTTCCTAAAATCAAAGGAATAGGTTACAAATACTTTAGGCTTCAAACTGCACAGTGATAGTGAAAAAAATAGAAAACAGCACTCTTGACGTGATTTTTCCTTCACCAGTTACAATGACCACAAACAGTGAAATAAATCTGTCTTCCTAACACTAATTTAAATGCAACTTGATGTAAAAGTATTTGATGTGTTCAGAATTTAACCGAATACATGATAAGATACATTTTAAGTCGCGTATTCAGTATTTGTAGCAAAATACATTTTCTGAATTTTCTTCCCATCACATCCCTTACAAATTGTTACATTGAAAATCTGAAAACTCTCACAGATTTGTGTTCAAAGTTTTTTATTTTGGTTTGTTCAAAATGTATTGCTGTAAATGTGCATAATTATCGACCATTTGCACAAGCCAAAAAGAAGTGATTATTTATGAATTACTGAAAGGTCCCATTCTCCTATTTAAATATGTGATTAAAGATGAGATTCAGAACATTATATTATGTTTACTGTTCTGATAATAAAATGGTGTCAGGGTGTATTATATGGCTATTAATGAGAAACACAGGTTCATATTTATGCATATGTTTTGTGTTAGGTCAAGTAGTGTTTGATTTGGCTCTCATTTTTCATGCAAAGAATGAGCATCATGCTACATAGAAATGCTGTAATAAACTGTTTCTTTCTGTGTTACAAATGTGATGGGCAGTGAAATGTACAGAACAGGATCCACAACAGCTCAAAACTTGAAGTATTGATACAGTGACATATTTATTTGGTACAATTCCAACAATAACAAGTATATTTTCTTTTCTGTATTAGAATTATGCGCTTCACTGTGTTTGTAGTTTACTGACAGTATTTTAAAGTTTGCAACTACTGCACAAGTTTGCTTTTAACAATAACTTCCCATTAACTGTTACTTAAAGCAGTGGTGCTAAGAATTGCATGTGTGCCATCTTCTAATAAATTACTAAATAATGTACGGGATTATGACTACACTCTTCTTTTTTTCACTCAGTTCACATCTGATTGATATGTGTTTTTATAAGAAAAGTAAAAATAAGATATATTTTTGCCACTAATGTTTCCATGTTAATAACGAAGCAAAAAGGCTTAAAGTCAAACTCTTTTAAAGTGACAAAAGTGCAGTATCCTTAGATGAGCCTGTCCCCGCAGGCCTATATGTTCACTGTTAACTGGATGCTGGGCATTTTCTAAACTCCTGTGTACCATCAGAACAGTCACAGCTCTTGGGTTCAACGCCGCGCTGCCCTGTTTCTTGCCAAATGGCCTCTAGAAGTGGTGCTTCTGTTTAATTGCTCCATTAACTGTTTGTGTGCTGAAAAACAATACTTAAAGGAGAGGTGATCTGAGGACGTGACCCCAACTGCTGCAATTATGCAAAAGTAGGAGCCCAATTAGCTCGTTCTGCAATATGACACTGTTGGTATTTATGTGAACAACTTCAACTTGTGTTAATTTACATAATTGGGGGATTGGTTCGTTAATGGGAATGGCGAGTGAGTGGATTCTATTAAGATATGCAGTTAGATCTAATCATCTCTTCTCCTCTCAGATTTTTTTCTCCACAAATACTCAAATATCACAAATGACGGCAATTTGTATTAGGTATTATTTTCCGTTATAATCTCCAACTTGTCCCCAAATAATTGTATTTGCCAGTTTCACAGATCCACCACTGAGGGGCAGTGTAGAAACAGCTGCTGCAGCCTGACAAAGTTTTCCTCCAGGAGTTTACCCGGAAATGTGAGCATGAAACAAGTGATGTTTTTACTTCAGTGCATAAATGTAAACCAAAAGGACTGTGTGAACAAATAAAAGTTAAAGTCATATTAAAGTCTCAGAATGTATGTTTTTAGCCAAAAAAATAGACTAAAATAAGTCATGTGTCATTTTAGTTGTTTTTATTGCTCTGAAAATGTCCTGGTTTCCGTAGAAATGTTCCTTTGGTTATGAAAGATATTAAACACTATTTCTGTGGAGAAAGAATCTTTTTACAGTAACTATTTGCATGGTGGTGACATGCCATCTCCAGAATGTTTCATAGTATTCTTTTATTGAAAAAAAAAAGCACAGAATTATACTATATGCTATCATTTAAAGACTTTAATAATAGGGTGCACCTACCCACCCTTATCTCATTATTTGCAATCATGTAAAAATAATATAAGAAAATCTTATTACTTTGATGCTCCATGTCCAATCTGAATAAGCAAACAGTAATGTCAGACAATCAAAGGAACTATTACTAAACAAATACTTCGTGTTTCTCATGAGATTTGGACATTTCAAATGCATTAATTATCAAATTAGATGTCAAGAGACGAAACTGAGCATCCAAGAGAGTGCAAATATATATTTAAACCCTGCATAGCTTTACAATATTCATTTTCACATACACTCTTTACTACTCACCGAGAGGCTAGATTTAAACAGCTTTTAGTCAGTAGTATTTTGCATAGCCTCTTGAAACTAAACTTTTTCTTTATAATCCTAGGTAAAACATCCAAAGAATACCACTGGAACAACAAAACGTGATACAATCTTCCTTGAATGCTAAAGCCTGCTTCATGAGGTGTAAGTGATCTTCAATCCATTATTTATGACCTCCTTTGCTGCCATTACGCTGAAGAGTGGGTCCCTGTTGTACAAACCACTGTTGTGCTAAACACGGCAGCACAGAGAAGAACACTCAGGCTCTCTTCTCTTCAGATCAGCTTTGAATAATAGCCACAGTTAGAGTAGCAACCATCTGTATTGTACTGGGTTTATTTAAAGCTACACTGCAACTTTTCTGGAGGGGGAACGCCACCTGCTTGCTTTAGGTTCCTCAGCATGGCATTATTTACTTTCATTTTATTACTTGTGCTCAGAAATAGCTTACTGGCCTGTTACATGTCCTTATGGTTTTATCTGCTTGTCTCCACGGAGATAGGTTTAATGCCAGACTATGGAACATTCCAGGGGAAGGAGTACAGCCACCACCACCACCAGAAACTTTCCATACAACATCTTTAAATATGTGATTGTTTTTGAAAAAAGAATGCTGAAAAATGCGTGCCCATTATATGCTCAAAATGAGTGTTGTGCATATACTTTATAATTGTACTTGTCAAACACGGCTTAATCTAGGGTTGGAGAATTGCAGTTAAATATAGTTTTTGATCGGTACTGTGTGTATATTTTTTATTGTTGAAACTTTTTTATCTTTAGCCTAATCTCTATCTTTGATTTTGACTTTTACAATACGCACTTCCTTGTCTATTCATAGCTGCCTTAAGAGATACTGTATTATCTTATGATATCCCAGAGGCTACTGTCCTATAGTCAGTGTTGGGGAGTAACAGATTACATGTACCAGAGTTACATAATCAGAGTACTAATTCTGAGTAACTGTTACAGTTACTGTTTCAATGAGTGGTAATTGGATTACAGTTACTTTGCTGAAATAAATGGATTACATGGTGGTATTTTCCTGTTTTCACATTTTGGGCTATATCCCCCTTTTTTTTTTTTTTTTTTTTCAGTAATTCCACTCATTGCTGGAAACTAAACCAAGTTTAAATTAGATCTAAACCTGGTCTAAACCAGGACTAAACCAGATCTAAAACAGGACTAAAACCAGGTCTAAACCAGGTCTAAACCAGGTCTAAAACAGGATTTAACAGGACTAAATCATGCTGCGTGGACCATGTCTCCTCCTCTTCTATCAATAATATTTTTTATTTGGTTCAGTAAAGTCTGGGTTTTTAATTTTCTTTTATCAGACAAAACATCTGATGTTACGATATCTTAGTCTTTGCTTCTCTACAGCAAATCAAGTAATCCAAAGTATTCAGATTACGTTACTCGCTTTAAGTAATTTAATGGATTATGTTACAAACTACATTTTGGGATCTGTAATCTGTAGGGGAATACATTTTAAAAGTAACCTTCCCAACACTGCCTATAGCAAAGTCAAAATAAATTGTGACTTGCAGTGGCTCAGTGGTAGACTAGCTCCAACTAGTACTAACTATTGCTGATGGGGAAGAGCTTCATTCACTTTGTATGGTTATTTCTAGGACCCATTAACTTTATGGCAACAGTATTTCGTGGTTGACACGGGAAGCACATCAGGTTAGAAAGATCGTAAAGGTTTATGGATAACATATTAACATTTGACAATATCAATACATTTTTTGGATGAATGGATCACAACATCCACCCACTCAGTGATGGATTTGAAAATGCAGTGCAGTTCCTTATGATCTGAACCTCTTTCTCTTGACTGCTCAACAGAAAATGCAAAATGTCAGTATTACACTTAATGACTTGATGAGTTTTAATTTGACTAATTATCTGATTCTGAGTGGAATTGCATAATTATGGCACATCAGACAATTAAAGCTCCAAAACATAAAGAAAACATCCCCCACTCCATCATGTACAAGGCGTAACATTTATTCAACAAGTGGAATGTAAGTTCTAAGCATATGTACTGAAAAGTTCATTAAAATTGTGTTGCGACTTTGCTCAACCAGCCACTGAATAAGCAACCTGAACTCTCTCGCCCATCTGTCACCTTTTTAACCTAATAGCATATTTCCTGTAGCTAAGGGGTTTTCAAACTTTTTGAGGCCTTATGGATATGAAAACATCCCAAGGACCCCCTATCGTTCTTCACAATGGTGAAGTTTAATTCATGTATTTTTATAACCCAATTTTAACTCCTCATAGTTCTGATCTTATTGTTGAAGGTGTTTTCATCAGAAACTGTGTTTTGGGTTTGTAACCAAGTAATGACCAATGTTATCTACATTTTTTAAGGACCCCCAACACATGGCCCAAAGACCCCAGTCTGAGAGCCACTGCTATAGCTCAGTCGTGATAAAATCTCCATTCACTAGTTGTGTTGTGAGATGTTTACCTTTCAAAAACAATGACCCCAATGACCAGACATTTGGGCTTTAATAGCGTGGATCCTCTCTTGCAGGTGCTTCCTTTGATCAGGGCCTGTTGTGCTGCGTCTGGCTGCTGCTGTTGCGTGATGCTGCCGAGCGGATTGCACTTGACTCGTTCAAAGTAGAGGAATCATTGTCTTCCAGTGTTTGTGATCTCATGTGTTATTCATGGAGGAGCTGTTGTGCTGTTTGCTCGATGCTTGCTACCTGCTGACTTCTCAAAGTGCCATTTTAACAGGCTCACACGGACAGCAGACAAACACCAGAGCCCCACAACAGGCTTCAAACACATCATTACAGCGGATTACAACTCGCCGCTGTTTTTTTGTATTTTTATTGCTATTTAATACAACAACAACAACAAATCAGACAGTGTAAAATGTTCTAAATCAGCATAAAAAGAACATTTGCATAAATTGCAGACCATTCACTTTTCCCACTGTTTTGTAGTGGTCGTAGAGGGCTAAGGAACTCAAATTATTATCTTCTAGTGGTCATTTTATCATTTGGATTTGTTATTGGTGCATGTAGCACATTTAAAAACATACAAGACACACTGTTCCAGGGTGGTGAACACATTCATTAAAACTAGATACAAAAGACACCAATAGACCTCATGTATATAGCCAAGATATATTTACTATATTTATATAGTCTCTTGCTATTTTTGTAACTTATTTTGATTGTATTATTACCATTTATATTTTTGTTCTGTTATTATATTTATTGTGATGTGTGAGTATGTAGTGTGTCTAAATCATTTTTTCCCTTGTGTTCACAACAAGGTGCAGTGTGCAAGGATGGATAGGGTCACCAGTCATCAGTTGTAAAGAAAAAATATACATCATTTTGGATAAATCAACAGAACTTTTTTTTTTTTTTCAAAGTCAGAATGTACTTTTCACAGAGCGACTTTGACAGTCACTTAACTCCGTCGACTTTGCCTCTGTGCTACTGTTTACATTTCCATTGATCCTAACGCATTAAACAGATTTATGATTTCTGACGCCTGCTCT